GAGTTACCTGAAAATGCGCATACAACCGGAGTTAATGAAATTTTTCGTATTCTAATTCGTTAACGGTAAATTCGAATTCGAACAATATCAATTACACTCTCATAATGTGGCTAAGTCGATAAATTTCATGAATTCGTTGTCCAAAAACGTATCATAAAGGAAGAAAAATGCGAGTATGAAGAGTGAGTTTCGTTCGCCCTCGATGTGGAACACGAATTTCTTCTAGGGAGGCACTTGAATAGATTAAAACCCCGCATGACGGAACGGTCGTGATGGTTTAACATAGCGAAACGCCGTATCGGCTGTTATTTCCTTCCTTTTCACTCTCCCTCTTTTTCTCTCTCACTCTCTCTCTCTCTTTATCGCATAGTCATTTCTCTCTATCTCTATACCCTATCTTGTTTGAAAATAAGTGATTATTTTTTCACGATTAAATTAACGGCTTACAATAATTTTCGTGATTCTAAATGTTTAATACATTATTTTTTACAATAAACAGTACTTAATACTAGTGCCCTTTTGCAAGTACTAATTTTTTTTAATATCACGTCAATTTGTATTGGGGGATCTACTTGAATAAAATAATATATCTAATAGTTTAGGATATTTTTATTAAACCAGTGTTAAACCCAACAGGCCTCTTTTAGTCCGTCTTCTTCTGCAATAGTGTACCTAGTGGAAGGTCATTTTGGCGATGCTTACGGATATCACTGTATATATGGCATGTTCTTTTCATCTCCTCTCTAATTCTTACTTTCACGTTGATAAATAACTTGTCCAAACATATTTTTGGTGCATCCTCTTTCATGTAAATTTACTTATTTTCATTTGAATTCACCAATTTCCCTCTAAGTTTGCATTAATTTATAATTTACATTTTTAACTTCGCGTTTTAACCAAGTTCCAGACTCCTCATTGCTTTTTCAGAAACAGGCCGTGTTAAAAAATAAAAATAAAAGAACAGACACTCATAAAAGTAGGAGTGAAGTGAGATTGATCAAAATGAAGATTTCACTACTTTGATAGGTGTTTTAAAAGGGAGTCTAGAACTTTTATCTTTTCTTTTGAGTTCCCTCAGGTTATTTACTAAAAAGAACAGACTTGTCCACAGTGTAGATATTATAAAAATTGATAGGTTGATTTTTTTTAAGGGGGTCTGGAGCTTGGCCCTTTTTGCATGATTAGGTTTTTATTGGGTACCATTTCACAAGGATACCGCCTTCAAAACACCTCGATCAAAGATGTTATCTATCATCAGGAGTTTTTTTTCTTTTTTTTGACTTTTTATTCAATGACTTTTTATTTTAGCAGATTGTCCGTAACAAGGGGAGCATAACCAATATTATTCTCCCATTGTAATGTTTTGTTTCGGAATTTTTGAAAGCATAACACAAAAAGTTTATAACTTTTTTTTTTTTTTTTTTTTTTTTAATATGTTGTTCAAATTGGGGGTTATCGGGAAAAAAGGGCCAGAGGCAACGGTGGGAATCGAACCCACGACCACGGCGTGAGAGTCTCTCATGCTAACCACTCGGCTACCGCGGTCCCCTAAAAAAAAAAAGTTTATAACAAAACAACCAATAAACAATATTGTATCAAAACAAACAATATCAAAAAGTTAAAATTGGACAATTTCATCCTTTTTACCATTTTCCATTATTTCTTATGGTAATTTATGTTTAAGTTAAACAAAACATAAATAAATAGATAGAATAAAAGAAAATATTTACAGAGGAAATTTTTATCTAAATTTGCAGATATTAAAAAGTCAGAAGTGGAGGTTTTGTTCCTTTTTTTATTAACAGTATTTTTTATGTAAATCATAACAGGGATCAAATAAACAGTTTGTAACAAAAGAAATTATTAAACATTTAAATAATACTTTCAACATTCGTAGATATCAAAACAGGAACGCCGGATATACTCCTTTTTTCTATATCCCATTATTGTATATGTAATTTATATTAAATATAGTATTAATAAATAGTTTAAAACAAAATTTATCAACCAATGGAATAAGATTCAAAAATCAAAAAATCCTAAGTTGCCTTACTGGCTCCTGCTTCCAGTATTTATTGGGAAGAATGTAATTAAGAAAAGCGTTTGGGCTGCTACTTGTACATGTTATGATATACCGGCAAGTCCTAATTCTTCACATTCCTTTGATATAATATCCTTGAGAACTTGAGCAGTTCGTTTCAGGGCCCCATGTTCTTTGAGTTTGAGTTTTTTACAATTCAATGAACTTTCTATCTTTTCTTATATTTGCAAGTTCACATCATGATAATGGGTAAGATGGATATATGTCAAATACGGGTTCATAAAGAAAATAACATTTTATAATAAATGACATCTTTTATTTAATAGGTATAAAAAGCAACAATATAATAATAATAATAATGACTACAATAGTTGTTCCTGGTGATTATGAAATAATACAAATATTAATATTTAAACATCACTGTAAAGATGCTGTAAAAAAAGTGTTTTCTTTCTTAAAAACGCATATAATTATGTAAAGCTGGAAAAAAATAAAAAATAAACTGTGAATAAACTCTGAGAGAAATAAAATTAATCAAAAAGTTGTGAGTAACAAATATGAATTACCCTTTCATCACAACATATAATAGTACATTTATGTTAGTTAATTACGACTATTTACAAGTAGATGTGCCAACAATTTTTTAAAGATTTTTTTTTTCTTGATCCTATATAATTTAATATATTTCGTTCAAGATTTGGCTTGAGTCTCCAGTTGTTTAAAATTTCAAAGGTATAAAATACAAAACGAACACTGTAAATAAATATTTGGAAAAATGAATTCAGTGAATATGTACAAAAAAAAACACTAAAACTAAAATAAAAAATTGTCGTTTAAAACACAGGAGGAGTTTGTTAAAACATTTTTCAAAATAGAAAGTAAAACGAGAGACTTTTTACACACACTCCTTTCTAAAATCAACAATTGCCCTGAAGGTATTAATTATTTACAAAAATTTATATAAAAGAAATATTTGAGCAATACAACTGCTGAACGACAAATTCGACAAGCGTCTCTCGTATGTCAAACTGCGTCTCAATTTTGATTGGTTTGTTTTAGAAGATTAATCTGCTAATACAGACGTTCCTTATTTTTTTCGAGCTATAAGTGTATTTACAATGGTTTATTTGCACATATACTGTAACACTTTTTTCACTTTTTTTTTAGAGGATTAATTTGACACAGAATATAAAGATATTCCAGTTTGGAGGTTAGGAGAGGGTAAACTTACATAGGTGTTTTTTATCTTTTCCATAGAAAGCAAGGATTAGGAAAACATTTTATATTGGTTGTTATAATGTAAATGTTGTATCTGTAAGTCTTACGATGGTCAGTGTTAATCTCCACCAGACTGGAAGTGTTCAAAGGAAATTAAACGTACAAAATGTACATAATATTATTATTAAAAATTGTAAAAATGATAAAATCACTACTTGAAAATTTGGAAAACAAAACTGATTTGTAGAAAATCCTAAGCATGCAAGGTATAAAAATCCTATCTACAATTGTCCTGTATAAAGTTTTTTTTAGTACAATACATTTTTTAAGGAATAAAAAATACAAACTTTCTATTTAATAAAAGAAGATACAATTTAAAAAATGACTTTCCTTTTTCATATAAAAAATGTTTTTCTTTTAATGCAAAATTCACACTGTTTTTAATAATACAAAAATAAAGATTAGACAGAATATAAAACAATATCTGTTCTTTTATTGTAAAATTGATCACGATAATCAACAATACTTTAAAAATTATTACATGTTATATTAACTAAATTGAACTTTTAAGCAAAATATATATTCTACCGAACCTTTATTCATGAGGAATGCATAAGAGCAAGGAATCGCAAACCAAATGTGATGAGGGGAAGATTCAGTTGAAGCAGTTTACAAAATAATAATAAAAATAAAATAAAAATAAGGGCACATATGATAAAAAGTACTCTTCAAGTTAACATTTTAATACAAGAAAAATTATGTTAGGGATGGAAAGAAGGCACGGTCATTCAATTTCTATATAAACAGTCCAATATTTAAAAAATAACGCTATTAAATTAATTTGATACTCAACTATGCCCGTTGATTATCCTTATTTGTTATTTGTTTGGGGTGTTTTCCTGTTAGAAAATGTCTTGAAGTTTCTGTATATAAGTGTACATTCATGAATGTTCTCTCTCTCTCTTGAAGAGAAACGGTGGGTGCCCTTATTTTCACTATTCCCTAACTATATGCTTACACCTACATTGTATAAATCTGATATTTATATTTCCTATGTTATTATATATTAATTTATTTAAAAAATAAAATTGCACCTATAAAATTTTTTCAAAACGTTTTACCTGCTGTTTTTTCTTCTTTGTATCGAGAGTAGAAATGCCAGAGGGAATGAACGTTAAAAAATACAGCCTCACAAAATTCTAATGTTATAAGTTGAATTGGCATGACTTCTTTTAAAATGACACAATATTCCACCGAAAAATTTACCTCAAACTTTTTTTTCTTCTTTATTCAATTCATAACAACTCTGAACTGATGTGAATGATTTTAATGATATCAGTTAATCAAGAAGTGAAAGTAATTTTGTTACACTAATCTTTTCAAGAAAAGATTGGCAATGTGTAAATAAATAAAATTGAGCCTTTGTTAATTTAAAAAAAAAAAATGTTTGAAGAAAAATCAAAAAATAATTTTGACCTTTGTGAAAACGAAATTGTATCTTTCCTCATTTTAAACTACAAAAAAAGGATGAACATTCAACTTCTTGCTGCGCCTTAATAAAAAGCCTTAGAGAAATAAAAATATCACATCACACATTGTAAGCGTGTGTCACTCATAACATTTTAAATATTACAAAATGCCCATCAAAATTCAATGAAATTTAAGATATACATAACAATTCACTCGAAGTCTTGGAAGTATAAACACAATGAAATGTCATACACTAACAGCAATTAAACTCTTATAAGCAGGAAACCGGATCCTCCTGTCTCCAAAACAATTTCAACAAATTTAAGACTAACAGTTTTTGTTTTTTTTATTTTCTTTTTTTTTCTTTTTTTCTTTTTGTTTGGCACGTTCAATTAAGAAGAGCAAGAAGTTATGAGGAATAGTCTAAATAAATTGTTTAATATAATAGAAGGAAATAGAAAATAAATACTAAAACATTTTGGATAATGCAGAACAAGCCGTTGTCTTATCCACTGTCCGTCCTGTTCAAGTGTTGATATAATTCCATCAATCTTGCTCTTTATCTGCAATTCTTCTTCACCTGAATAACAAAAAGATCATTTTTTTAAATTACATTTATAGGTTGTTTCTCCACTGTTATTGAAACTGAAGCTATTGAACTACAACTAACTGTATTTACTTCTTGTGAGCTTTGTTTTTTAATTGACTGTGTAAATGCAACGGTCTGCGTCCTCCTGTTTATACTTTTAAAACTCTCCTTCCTATTCACCCGTTACACACTTCCATTCAAAATTTCTATGCCCATTTTGCATAATTACAAAAAATAAATAAATGATCGTAGAAAGAAGAAAAGACAATTAATTCAACTGCACACCTAAATTGAACTTGTTCTACAGATTGTCTACTTCATTTGCTTAGCACTGCTAGGGATGCAACTGTTGCATAATATTTTTTATATCACTTAGACTTATAAAAATATTTTAAAAATCATTTATATTAATTATAAGTACCAGAGAGCTATTTTACGTGATAAATTGGGTCCTGCCATGGGCAACCAAATTGGCCTAGCTAGGACCACAGTCAACGTGTTAAAGAAAAGCAACCTAAAACTTTTTTTTAATCAAAACGAGTAAAATTAACTTACCAGCTTTTCTAAATAGTGATCACCAATTAGCCATTCCTGGTTTGTTCAAAGTCAAAAAATAAATTTGATAAAACGAGCCACTTTTTGCTGATGTAAAGAATACCTAAAAACAAAAACATTACAACTAAAAATTATTAATTACATCACAATCACTCACCTTATCATTTCTTTCGCATAAAAATTTCAGTCTCTGAGATTTCTTGTGCATGAAAACACCGTCGAGGTGTCCTGTTTCTACACTTCGGATCTCAATCGCCTTGTTTCCCCAGCCCATAATTTGACCAGTGCCAATATAAGCCACTGAAGTTGGCATTTCTCCCCATTGGAGGACTATATTTTTACTAACCTATTTTTAAATCAATGTCAAATTTATTTGAATCTTATTTATACTGGTTTAGGGGAAAAAAAAGATTAAAAAAAGGCTTACTTTTCCATAAGTATTTACATAAACGCCCTCATTGTCGTAACAGAGTAATAGTTGCATCCCATTTGAATTGGGGAGAGGTACTATACAATGTGGACTGATGGGCCCTTGAGTCTAAAACATTTAATTTACATAAAATCACAACTTCTCACAAGTCCAGCATGCATTTTAGAGAGTTAAATTAAAAGATGAATCAGTTATGGATGTAAGATTTCTCTTACCCTCCCACCATCACCAAAAGTCAAAAGTACAGTCCAAAATCTGAAGAGGCTTTTTATCTACTTGAAAAAATTATACAAACTGTTCTTACTCTTACATGTTTTGGCAGGTAGATATCATAGACTGACGCTGAGTCTAGATCTACTGCATGAAAACCATCCGCTGAACCGTAAATGACTTTCAGCCTTGTTCCTTCTTCCACTGTCAGATCGACTAGCAATGGCCTGTGTGCCAATTCTCCAAATGACTAAACACAAAAACAAAATGTGTAAAATTCTCTTTTGTAAAATCGTTAAGTATCTGTGTAAGAATTACTTTGAAAGCCATAAACTTATGGTAAGGTTTTGGCGCCCAGGCATATATTTCAATTGAATCTTTAAGAGCAATAACGAGGAACTTAATTCTTTCATATTTGACTATTTTAAAATGAACAGCACCCTGAAGGTCGCCAACATTTATCCATCCATTTCTCCTTTCCACTTGCTAAAACAAAGGAAACATTGAGATGATTCCTATGGAAAAATAAAACCCAGGTACGCACTTCACTAAGACCGTCTGTTCGTAAAATCTTGCCCTTTAGCCAGGAAAGGTAGTATACCCTGACACGGTTCTTCTTCCCTGAGACAGTGACTAAAATGTTCTGCCCTTCAAGTACTTCCATCTGTTGGAAACGTCTCCTTGATATCAGCGGGTACACTTTCCCCTGTCCGCTACGGTCCAGCAACATCAAACCAGACTCAGTACCAATTAGGAGGTTAACACCTGCAAAAAAAAAAAAGTGTGTAAGATTAAATTACAGAAATTAAAGAACTTGTAGCCTCAATTTTATTAAATTTTTAATAAAGTTTTAATTATAAAAATTAACGTTTAATATTATAACTGTTAGTTAATATTATTCTGAATTTTAGAGTATTTTTCCATCAGTTTACTCTGCTTTAACTTTTGCAATAATTCACTACAATAAAAATTATAAATGTATAGTTACCCCATAAAGCAGCACTGAGTATTTCCGAGTTGAACCTCTTCTTGTATTTGCGAATTTCAGGTGTATCACTAGCGAGATCGTGGGAAGTGGGCGTGACGTTGACATTGACATGTGATTCCCTCCTGCTGGCAGCACTACTCCCAGCACCGAATCCAAAAGCCAGGAACGTCCTCTGTTTCTGTTGACCAACAACGCCACCTAACTTAGCTACCGCTTGCCGGTACTGAAAAACATGCCAGATCTACAACTACTGCAGGTACCTCATGCCGGCAGCAAAAAAACAAACTGGTACCTACGTGCCACTAATTGAGAGAGAAAAAGTGGATAGTGTTTCTGAAGGAAGTGTTTTGTTTGGATGTTAAAATTTGACAAATTAAAAAAAATAATTATGATTAATTATGATGTGAACAGAAAATTGTGTTACTTTTAAAGTATGTACAAACGAAGGATAAAAATAACAAGAACGAAACCAATAGCAGCAAACATAGGTAAAAATTATTTAATTCATACTTACTTAAAATAATTAACAAGATGTTTTAGGCCCTGGCTCATGTCACAGAGAGGTTGTTAACGCCCACAGAAACATACAGATGTATTAGTAAGAGCTTATGTACAAGCATTTTAACATAATTGTTTTTCATTCTGACTGTTAATCATTCATAAAAATTGTCAAAATACAATCATTGTGTTATTTTTACAACTGTTATAAAACGTAAATACCGACATTTACCTTACTGTTTAGAAAACTATGATTGGAAAATTGCCGAAAGAACATAAAAACACAAGCCATTTGTTATGTTTTTAATACTGTTACAAAACCAAATTAACAAATTACAATAATATAAAACTCAACCATGATAACAATAAACTTTTTGTTCAAAAGTAAATAAATATAAACATGACTCCACTGCTTGTATGATATACCATGAGAAAATATTTGAACTGACATTGAAATAAACATCAAAATTAAGATAGAAAAGTGTTGTGCATGTTTTCCAATGAAAATCAATTTCCTGGGTCATTTTCAAGTTTAATACATGTAGAAGACTTGAAAGTCGACTAAGAAAGTAGATAAAAGTAAAACTTTGACTAATATACAAAGGAAATTGTATTAACGAAAACCCTTTTGTTTTCCTAATTATGTTTTGGCCTTCAGCAATATTTATAAGTCAAAAAATATATGACATAAAGCTTTGAAAATATATTATTTTAGCCTTCCTTTGTTTACTGTTTTATTTTAGTAAAAGACAAAATAAGTGAATATATCAAGATAATTTAAAATTAAAATTAATTTATAAAATAGAACTTTAAACTGTTGATCATCGAATAAAATAACAGTATTTCAGGCCCGATGCATGTACATGTGGTTTTTGCCTTCCAGTCTTGCTGAACCCGTATCACCAAAGAGGATGGATGTCTACCATAGAAAACATGGCATTTTTGCTCACCTTTTGAACAAATTTTTACAAAACAAAAGACATAGATGAGACTTGAAGACTGAGAAGAAATGGAGTTGTTTTATAACTTTTGTAGATTTAAAGGAAAATCTGCTATTGCAAGCCGTTACAGTTACAACAAGAACTCCAGAATTGCAATTGAAAGAAGGAAGAACATAAATATGTTATTCAAAATTGTGCCAAATTTTGTTGCGGCACCGCTGTGGCCTAGAGGGAAATGCCAGGAAAGAAGATGGTAAGTCCACAGCTATGTGGGCACTAACTAAACTGATGCTCTAAACTTCAGACGGCAACTGCGGGACCGGATGGCAAAACACCGCATCTGTGCATTGGACTTCAAAATTGTTAACTCAGCTGGCGAACGCATGCAGTTAAGTGTCGTGTTTAATTAAAAATGACACCATCAGAAATAATCGCAATAAATAATTTGCATGCACATTTTTACAAACCTATTTTAATAACAATGAAGTTTTTTCTCTTTTTTCTTGACTCAAAGTTACATACTTTAAATCATACATAAACTTTATTAAACAAAATGAGTAGGGATATCATTTATTCAATTTGATCACTTATCAATTAATTTTATTTGATTTTAAAATAATTTTTAAACGTTTTAAATTGTATTATTTGTTAATACATACTCAAGATCAGATTCCCATGCAATTGCATCTTTTTATTGCTAACTCCGAGTGTTAAATAATGAAGGGGGGAAAGGGTTTCTTTTGCCTTCTTTTGAAACTTTGCATGCTTTGGCATTATTGTATGAAATTGCACATTTTTACAGTTTACAGCATTTTTTCCAATTATTTGATATTTTTTATTTATGAAAACGAGAACATTATTTTTATGGATTGTTAAACGAATTGAAGGTTAAATCTTTTTTTATAATGTGCTTCGTCGAAGTTTTCAACTCTGATGCTTATCATTTTCCAAGAAATAGTTTTATGTTCAAAATCCACCTAATCATTTGCATATTTCAGCCTTTCCTCAGCTTCAGGAGCAAAGGAGAACTGTTTTCCCCCCTTTTTTTAAAAGAATAATAATGTCTGAATAGTACCAAGTTAAAAAGTGGCGGCTGCAGGGCAATCCGGAACCCAAGACAGATGGCAAAATTGTTTTTATACATTAAAAAAAGATAATAATAATAAAAAAATTAAAAAAATATTAAAAAAACTGTCAGAAAGTATAACCTAAAAAAGCTTAACAATGTATGTGCCGTTGAATTGTAATGAAAAAATTAATTTGTTGGATGTTATTGTTATTAATTTTTTAATATTTAAAGTTGGTTGTGCATTAAGTTGTTTATTGCATATTTGTTGTTTGATGCATGGTTTATAAACATAAAATCTTACTTTAATTTAATTTTTTTTCCCCAGAGTTATTTCGACTACGAGGTTATATGAACCCTTGGGGTGCAATGTTTGTTTTTTTAAGCCCATGTTTTTACGTTTAGGTTCAAACACAGGACCGCTGGATTCAAACACGGGACAAAGGACCTTACAGTGATAAGCACTAAGTCTAAACATTGCAGCCACCGACAACCCTACAAAATATGATTGTATATATGTACATATTGAGTTTACGAAATGAGTATATCATCGCAAAAATCGATTTATTATAAAATAATCAATTTCATCATAAGCAATGTTAACATTTTTACTATGTTCAATTGGAGTTTTTATTTTTTACTGCACTTTTTCACTTATTTCAAGGGTTTTATTGCTCATTTTGAAGGTTTTTACTGCACGCAAATCCAGTCTTTAGTAATAACAGTTGGTATTTGTTATTGTTAAAGTCAATCTCATATGGCTCACGTAATTTCATAAGTTTATCACATTGCATAAATATGTAGGTACCTACAAGATTTACTGATCATTCTTCAACGAGGAAGCTATTTGTGAACTATTTTATCACTATTTTAGCATTATTATGCTTGTGCAAAGTATAACTAGCAATATCCCTACTCAGTTGTATGTAATTAATTCGTCGACATGATAAATAATGTATATAGACAACAAAAAACAATACCTCTTCACTTGTAGTCTTGTCCTGCCTTTGGTTTGGAGTGCCAGGGGAGGAAGATGCCTGGAAGGAGACAAATGTTAACATTTTGATTTCAACTGGAACAAAGTAGGCTAACCTGAGGGAGAAGATCTGGCAATACAGAGCTGGTCCGGGAGCTCGGAGTCCCTAATTGACCTTGTGATGAGTCCATCCTGTGAAGATCCCTACCTCTGTCTTCTCGTCCCTGGAAGCAAAGTCATTGATATTTTTCCCCTATACTGAAAACCAAACTCTGGTAAAATGTTTAATATTAGATTTTAGTCATTAGTTTGATTTGATTATTTGATAACTGAATATTCATTCTAAAAGCAATAATTTTGTTTAAAAGAAAAAAAAAATTCAAAATCTATAATGTGCACTGTTAATACAGGGTGTCCCAGTTACTTTGTTTTGCAAGTAAATAATAACACACTATTTATGCAAAATAATAACATAAGGAATACATATAGTATAAATATTTTTTTTAAATATGTAATCATTTACTGATGGTACGACTATGAACAAAAAATATTTTAAATCTGCAAAAATTCACCCAAACCATTCCTAATTTATTTTAGTAGAGTTATAAATTTTGTTTTTTGATGAACGACAATTATGTTTTAATGCTGCAGTTAATAAATGTTTAATAATAATCAATAAGAATCAATATTTAATATTTGATCATTTCAAAATGCAAAATGTATAATAAATTATTTACCTTTGTTAAATTTTAAAAATTATGACGAACTCATCCCTTCAGCATTTTTAGAACTAATATTTTAAACAATTTTGTTTTTGTCTAACAATCAGTTAGGCATTGATGGAACGATGGGACACCCTTTATTAAAAAACAGAACATGCAAAGTACAAAACTAGTATTTAAAAAAAAAAAAAAGCATACAATAAAACAACAAAAAACATTAACTCACTAAAACTCACTGCCATGCTTAGATGCTTAGAAAGCGGTGACTATTCTGACAGAACTCGAGGTCCATGCTTAAATTAGGAGGAAAAAACACAAATTCGACATAGTACATTTGTCTTGGAGACGATTACGAGTGCTGAGCCATGCTATATCTGTAATCAGTACTTTTGCAATGGGAGGGTGGCAAACTTCTTGGAGGCGAGTAGATGAGTCGCTTCGAGGCGGGTTTGGCCGGATGTGCCACTCTGGACAATGAATCGGACACACAGTTCATCTACGATTATCGAGATATCTCGACACAAATTATTTCAGAGGCACGATAGAAATGTTTGTTATGGACGAAAGACAAGTAGGACAAAACATATTTTGTTAGAAGTGCAAATCGGTCTTCTCGCCTTTTGAACATAATGCAGTTAGTCACAAAAAGTTTTAGTTTTATGTTAGGACAAAAACAAGGGTGCAATTTATTTTCGTACAAAGTGCTCATTCGTTGAGACCAACCAACAAATGTGATTTTATTTTTATTACTTTTAAAATAACCCTTTACCTCAAATAACCTTTTCTAAAACTAAAATAATAAAAACAAAATGTTATTCCCAAGACCATTTACATGTATAAAATTGCTTTCTACTCAACAGAATTAACAATCAGTAATATTTATTTGTAATGTGACTGAATAGATTCTAAAATTCAAATTACTCAAAACCTGTAATAGTGGCAAGAAAAAATATTACAAACTAAACAATTCAGAAATGGAAACACTCATTTAATGAAAATAATAATTAATTAATGACCAATATGGTTTAATAACCTGATCTTTATGATGTATAAATGAGAAATGGAATTAAAAGATTTACAGAAAAAAATAAATATACTAATAAATTTCATACACAGCCTACTTGCTAGTTAAAAATGAAATTATTAAATTGATTGTTAATTTTATCCAGTAGTAGCATAAAAATATTTAAAACAAATAAATTTAAATTTGTGGTTGGTGCATCAGCACAAAATGTTAGTAAAAGAACAAAAGGTAAAAAATGTATAAGTAAATATTTAAGAATCACATATTGCGTTTAAAAACTCTTATAAATAATTATAAAACAGCAATACAATTTTAAATTTGATTTAGAGGATAAAAATGTATTATTACTTTGTAATAGATTTTAAATTTACACAGATATTTTTTATGTTTCAATGAGATGTTTAGAAGTAAAATATTGACAGATGAACATGAAGAGAATTTAAAAAAATTATGCTCGTGTGAGACTGACAACATAAAATTAAGCATAACACACAAGATTTTGCTCTATATACACCCTAATACTAATCTTCTATTGACTTGACTTGGAAAAAAAGTATATAAAAAATAAACAATAAAACAGTAATAAGTGATAAAGATTTAATTTAAAAAATTTGCATTACACAAAAATTTTAATAAAGCAAAATATTAAACACAAGCATAGAAGCTAATCAAATGACTTTCCCCGTTTCATTCTGCCAATTTATGAAATTGTAATAATAATTCATAATAAATTGATTCATAACACAATCCCTACATTTTACTGAGATTCGAGTATTTAACTTATCTTGGAACAAGTATCTCACCTTGTCAGATTTGCTTAGTCGAGTAGAACTTTCCCTTTTAAAGAAGCTGCCCTGGTTCGACAACCTGTCTTTCACCTCTTGCCTCCTCGCTTCCAAATTATTTAAATTATTTCTCGACCTTTGGAGAATTATATCTCCATCGGTCCTTTCTCTCCGAGGCCTGACAGGCTGTACTTCAATTTCTTTGCCGGAGATGGAAGTTAAGACAGGCTCTCCGGCCAAATTGCCATTTTGAGATATACCGGCAACATCGGATCCCCGCCTCAAACTCTGTCTAACGCTTTTCGTCTCTAGAAACACAGCCGAATGTCTTGCTGAAGGGACAAAGAAATCAGAGTTCTCTCTTCTGAAAATTCTAGATATTTCAGATCCATTTCTTCTATGTGCCACCCTCTCACAATCTTCCTCTTTCTTCTTCTCCTCCTTTCTTTTTGTCTCTGTACCGCCACTTTTTGATTTTTCGCTTTTACTGTGAAAAAATCTCGAGATATCCCATTCTTTCAATAGGGAAGCCTCGTCTAGTTCAGATTTCCTCTTAGATTTCTCATGGTTTACTTGTTCCTTCTTTATAGTTTCATCACAATAGAAAATTCAACCGAAAAAAAGAACAAAACATAAGTCAAATCATTTAAGTACTCTACATTTATAAACATAGACAGATCCTTACATAATGTATATACCATAAAATAACCGTAATGTGCAACATTTTTTGTTTAAATAACATCTCACACACTTCATCACAAACATGTTATTTACTTTGAGGCCACTAGTTACTCAACGTCAAATAATAAAAATGCATTTGAACAAATTAACATTGATTGCATTCTTAATTTAAAAGCGATGCATTCCATAAAAACACGTTGTGCCCAAATCAGTTGTAATAATTACAAAAAGGTGGGTTTTTCTGTACATATTGATATAGAACAATTTAAAAAAACAAAAACAATATTGAATCAATGAATTTAAAGCTGTGGAATTTTTTACTGTGCAAAGAATAGTCAATGTGCTTTATTTAAAAATGTAAAAATGAAGAAAAAAAAATTCAACGCCCTCCTTGTTATTGGTACAGTGGATAGGATAGTATAGTAAAGGTATATAAGCTTACTCTTCTCATCACTAGAGTGCGATTGCCACTTTCTTCTTCATCCGGCGTTGGAGGCAGTGGTCGATTTGGAGCACCTCCAGATGAAGAAGCTGAAGAAGAAAAAATATCAAATAATAGCACCATTTATTTATTTATTTTTATGAATGTTTATCATGCAAAACTTGAATATGTAGCATTAATAAATATATATTTAATATGTAAATAAACAAAAATTGATATGGGAAAAATTGAACATTCCAAAAATGCCCAATTTTAAAAGTGAAAAATCTCATTTACATATTCCAAAATGATATAATTTTCACACAAAAAAATCAATGAAGCTTTAGCTTGTTGAAATCTTATGATATTGAACAAGAATTTTAACATGACTGTATTTACTTATTTTTTATTGGGCACTATGAAAATACTCATAAATACACATTTATTGGCATTTATTCTTCAGCAGGTGCCATTCTTCTATAATCATAATAATAATAAAGCACTTATTCATAAAAATTTTGGTTTAAAAAATTTACCTTTCACTTCATGAAGTATAGACTGAGTGTCAGCAGGCCTGTAAGGAGAGAATTCAGGCCTATTCAGTAAGCATGGAGAAACAAATATGTGGGTTAGTCCTTTTAGTATTTAAACTTAAATTCCGACTGATGCTAAGACGTATTAAGTTAGTCACATTTATTTATTTACAATTTATTAGTACTATAAATGTTAATTGTAATAATTCACTGCATTACTAATAAACGTGTATATGGGCCTGATACAAACATTGTTGATAAATAAAGCTAATTAGAAACACATTTGTTGGTATCTCCTTCCACTAATTTAAAAGAAATCGATTTTTGTTTTATTACCCTTTGTATCTGTTATTTTCAATAATTGAGGTGATTTATTTAAAAATTATCACATTAATTACATGATAATATGGGTGGCCAATTAAAATAACTTTACAATTTAAATACAAATATTTTAAGAATAAAAACTCAATCTAATTCGTGAATTTTTGTGATTTCAAATACTAGCTGTTTTATAGGTAAACACATTGCATACATCAAATCCACCGATCCAGCCCATCAAAACAAAAAACAAACAAGATATAAAATTAACCTTTCCAAAAGATAGTTCTTAACTCCATAACTCCTTCAACCTGATGAGCAATTTATGCTCGAAAACCAGATCGTTGCAAACAACAAACTGTGAGTAAGAACTATCTTTTGAAAGGTTAATTAGCCATACTCACCCCATCATCATTTCTATTAAGATATAAAATTTTGTTATCTATGCAATATGTAATAATAGTAATATAACTAATTAAAATATCCTTTATTAAATAAACCTATAATGTGTATAATAAAAATTAATGGTCAATAATACAAGACAGTGATAGGTATATTTTCTTTTGATTAAATATTTCTTGTTTAAAGAAATATTCAGTATAATATTAAACATTTAAAGGGGCAACCAATTTTAGTGTTTTTTTTTTAATTAATTACACTAAATTTTTTTCTGCATTTGATGTTAAAGATCTGCAATTTTGAGCTTTTTTTAAATTCAAGTACTACAAACTTAAGGTTTTGTCGAGTGCTTTTTTGGAAATAAAATTCAGGCCATGGGATATTTTTTTCTGAATGATGATAATTGGAGGCAGGGAGATTTACAAAATGATCAGTGACTAAAAAAATCAGTAAAACGAAATTTCCAAAAAAAATGCCTCGACAAGTGCTTCACATTAGAATACTGTTTTAAATAAGTAAATAAGTTAAACCTTTCTTTAAAAAAAAAAAGAAATTAATTCAGGCTATTTTTTGAAATGCATTTTCATACATTTTATTAATGCTGAACAGCTTGTAAAATAACTATTTGCATCAAAACTTATATCAAAATGTTCACAAGAAAGCCATGAATGATACCAATCACATTTGAATCAGATTGTTAGTTCATCAGATATTAAAGGAAGAAAAAGGAAGGATTGGGAAAAAAATCCGAGCATTGGTTGACCCCTTATTTAAAAGAAAATTATACCTCGCCTTTCTTTTTTTAAATTAATTTTGGTCATTTACTGGATATTGATCAATATGAGTTAATATGGATAGAATTTCTTCTTTAATATTCTTACAGAGGTTTTGGAGGGTCGCTTGCAAGAAGAGTACCATCGTTTCCTTGGCGCCCGCTGACTCCGACTACGCCTTCATCGTCGTCATCCTCTGATTCAGATTCCGAGTCAATAACACCTGTGGTCGGCGGTTTTGTTCCACCATTTTGCCGACTGATACCGCTGCCGCTGCTGCTCTTCACGCCGAGCTCATTGAGCTGGGCAGCAAGATTGTCAAGATCCTTGAAAACACGTTTCAATCAGATTGATACAAAACAGACAAGTGGCAGCAGGCGGTTAAAGGAAACTGAGGTGAAGGAAAACAAAAATTAAACACCAACTCACCTCTGGTCTCCTAGAAGGCAGCTATCAGTGTGAACATGAAAAACAAAGAAAAAATAAAAGACAGATAAGAGAAAATGAAATGGACAAAACAAAGTCATAAGATATTGATGGAAAAACAAAAAACTAAATATGACTCAGTGAGAAATCACAATACACTGAATGAAGGCGAGAAGACATAAAAGAAAGAAAAAGTCATGGAGTAGAGTGAAGTGAAAACTAGGTGGTACGTTCTTAAATTAGGAAGGGAAATTGACTGAAAATTAATTAATAAATTTAATCATTACAATTTTTAAAAATGGATTTAAATTTTATAATAAAATAATTTTTCCCAACTTTTCTGAATCTAAATCTGAGATAACTATTTCAAAAGGTAGCTTGTCTTGAGTTTTACTATAAAAAGTTTTTTTAATAAAAATGCCATGTTTTTACTTAATGATAAATAGATCACTATTGTCAGTTAAGTATATATTTATTAATACATTTATTCCTTTTTTTAAGTAAAAAGTATGAACATGCTGCTACTCAAAATAGATTTCAGGAAAACTTACAAGCTTATCACTATCTGTATCTTAATCTAATGTTATGGCAATTGTATTATGCTCTACTTAAGAAGAAAAATCCAATTTTTTCTTAATTTTCAATCAGTATTATTAGTTACTTGACTATTTTAAACATGACTGAGAAATCAAAACTCACCATGGGTTTAAATACATGCGAATTTCTTTGCTGATTTTGAGATTGCTGTATAGAAGGCTGTGGCTGGCTGCTCGGTTTCTGCTGCCTGTCCTCTCTTGGTGGAAGGGGTAACGGTCTTGAAGGTGGATGAGGATCTGTGAAGATTATTTTTTACATTAATTTGAAATGAAAAATGGTAATCGTTACAATTTACCAATAAGTCTTTGGGGAATGGCAGGTCGGGCTGGTGGTCCAGGCTCTGGGATCTCCTCCCTTTCTTTTTCCTTACTGTGTTTGGTCTCTTTTGTTTCATTCTGTGTTAGTGTACGACCCTCCTGGATCTGCTGGAAGTTCCGACGGAGTGTGTTGTCCCCAGGAGCTTGTACGATAGACGAAGGCTCACCGGCTGTAGCGACCTCCTCTTCTTCGTTTTCACTACCACTATACCTGTATTCTTCTCGTTCTAAAAATAATTTTTTTAAGTAGGAACTTTAATTACTTTCTTTGTGATTTAATGTTACAGTACCTTTCTCTTGCTTCCTCTTCTTACACCTATCAATGTGATCTTTTAATTGAATTCTAACCTGTCTCTCGGTCGGCTGATCTCTTATAAATTGTTGTTTTAAAAGTTGTTCAGTGTATGGTCTTTGGTGATAATCTTTTACTAATACAGTCTCTATAAAACCTAGAATGAATAAAAAACAATTATGTAAATTTAACCACTTTTGTTTAGAATTTATTTATTTATATTTTTAAATAGGATGGAAAATGAAATTTAAAAAAAAAATTACCTTGGAATTTTTTAGACCATCTTTTAGACTTCAACCGAGGAGGTGGGTTTCGAGGAATGAGAAAGAGAGCTCTCATAGGATGGAGATCACAAAGAGGTGGCTGGGATTCCGCCATTTCGAGGGCGGTGATGCCTAAACTCCAAAGGTCACTTCGGTTGTCATAAGTGGCATCGGGGTTTTCATCACAGGCTATCACTTCGGGCGCCATCCAATATGGTGTTCCAATGAATGTGTTTCGCCTGCCGATGGTCCGATCGAGCTGAGCGCTTACACCAAAGTCAACAAGTTTGACTTCAGCATTGTCTGTCAGGAGGACATTTTGCCCCTTGATGTCCCTGTGTATGACTTTATTGGAGTGTAAATAGGAGAGACCCCGCAGTATCTCCCGGCAGATGTAAGCGATCCACTCTTCCTTGAGCGACTGGCCTTTTGACGACTTGACAAGATCTGTCACCGACCCGGCACCACAATATTCCATGACCAGCCACAGCTGGTCATCTTTCCCAGGAGCACTTTTCTTTATAAAAGCACCATAATATGTTGCTATATTTCTATGGTTTGAATACTAAAATTGAATAATTAATCGTTTAGTTTTTAAACACAAAATAGGACAAATTTAGCAACATATTTAAATATTTACCTTTTTTAAAACATTTATTTCAAGCTTAATTTCTTCTTCTTCATCCTGAAATAATTTTGAAGATTAAGTTTGCTACAATAACAGAAAGTAAAAGACACTAATTTTTATGTATGACAAACCTCAGTAACATCCATAACTTTAATGGCAGCAAGTTGGCCAGTTTTTGTATGCCGCCCCTAAATAATAAAAAATCATTAATACAATTTATTTATTTTTTTAAATTAAACATTAAACAAAACTAGGAAATACACTTTATATTTTATTATTCAGATATCGTGAGATGCGGTCGGGTGTGATGTAGGTTTCAGAAAAACATTTTCTCTCAACACGACACACAAGGATGGCACAATTACACAGAAGACAAACACTTTGAGTGAGTAGAAATACTTTGTTTGAATATAAAATATATTTTGCATTGTATAAATTCACTTATCCACATCCTAAATGTATTTGTTAAATGTAAACATTGTTTGTAAATCCCAGGCCCTGAAGATGATCTCAATAAAAGATCGAAACGTTGGCACGATAAAGAAAATGTTTTTCTGAAACCTACATCACACCCGACCGCATCTCACGATATCTGAATAACTATCGATTAACGGTCACTAATCTCTACACATTTATATTTTATTGAAGTTTCCATTTGTTCAATAGCAGCAATTTTGTAATAAAAAATACCAGAAACATTTGCCAATGATTCACCATAAGTAATACTGTTTATGATTAATCATTTATCTTAATGTGCTATCAATTTGTTTTCCGATTGCTTAACTAATACGATTTCTATTGTTTAAAATAAATTATTGACAATTATACAATTGACAATTGACAAGTATACAAATACTTTGATTAATAAGACATGAAGAAACCTTAACACATTTATTTCTAGCCCTTGCCAAATACTGCAATCTGTCTGATTGATCAAGACATATTTAAACAGGATATAGCAACTGGACCAGTATTTTATAAAATTGAAGTATCAATCAAGTAGACTTTTTTTTAGTTCTTTTGCAAATTATTTTTTTAATATTGTGAGTAATAGGTCATATAAATTTCAGAAGTTGGGTACTATCTCATGTTAGCACTTAAGATAAGGAAAATAACAATTCACTTAGGTTATTTTTAATTGTGTAAAAGAAGTTATTTGCAGTACTAATTTCACCATCTTTCTCTTACTTCTTATCAGGTGATTCAAACAGACAAATAGATAAATTATTCTGCATTTCCGGTATTTAATATTTTTTTTAAACAACAGTTAAACCAAAAGGTTGATAAAGAAAAGAAAAAGACGACTCAATATTACAAATGACACATCATAAATGACACACAGACCAAAACTATCAAATATGGACAAGTGTTGAAATGTGTCTTAGAGACAAAACAAGCTATGATAAAATAGATAACCAAAGACTAGATTTAGATTATTATCATTTCATGTTGCTTTTTAATTATAAGTTTATAACAAATGGATGATTTATTTATTTCTTATTATCAGTTAGTCTTGTTCATTAATAAGTAATGTTTCTAACTCATAAATGTACAAAAATACTGATGTTGAATATTATTCATTTTGTCTAAAACTTTGTTTGAAAATTCTATATTAAAAAATGGGCTGGATTGGCAGAAAAGCTCCCATGCATCAAGAGCACTGTCGATAAGTGGCCTTCAAAGGATCTGACCCGTAGAAGAAGGGTCATCCTCACCCGACTATGAATAGGCCATGGAAAGTTGACACACAGACACTTTTAGGCCAAAACATAAATAGAAAAGTTGCACGATGTGTCCCATTTAATTGAAGGCCATTCCCTGGCTCCATATAAAGAGTGTGTAGGAATGCCACCCGATATGAAAATTGTGTTTGAGCATGGGGTATCGCACGGGATATCTTGTACATGTACCGATTTTTTAGAGTAAACATAGAGAATAAAATTTTACTGTATATAGTTACAGATATCTCATCTTGTGTTTCTTATCAATCAACCCTCACTTAGATTAGTTATATAATATCTGTTGAGGAATATCAAGTACTCCACCACTCTAACTGAGTGAATAGGATTTCCTAAGTATATAGGACTATATAGGATATATAGGATTATATACTTAGGAAGTATATAGGAAATATTTCCTAAGTAAATAGGAAGAATGTATTAAAGAGTGGGTGAGTGTGAATTGGTTTGGATTGAGAGGCTGATTATTGTGTTAGGGGCTGAAATGGCCTAGCTGTTTAGCCCTTGGAGCCTAAACTCAGTGGATGGTTGGCCTGGAGTGGATTCTAGAAGCCTGCCGGCAATTGATTGTAAATTACACAAAAGGTGAAATTGCCGGTGAGCTGTGAGAAGAGATAGGCTCAACCTGTATACAATTTGTATGTATGTACTTGAATGCATGTGCAGATTTTTGAGTCTATATAAATCAGTAATCAGTTTATTTAAAAAATTCAAAATTATAAAAGGTAATAATAATAAAGATTAGATTGGATCTTTGGTTTTAGCACCTGTACTTAATTAATTATTGTTATATATTATCTGCCAACAAGTCAATAAAAAAATTATTGTAGACAAAGAGTATTACAGGCTTTTTAAATATGAAAAAACTGTAAGAATGTTTATTTTTGAGATATGATTTCAATAAATTTATATAAATTTAAAAATTGTTATTGGTTTTTAAATGAGAGTATTGCAATTTGAGAGATGATGCATGGCATTATTAATTTCTAGATCAATACCAAGCCTGGTTTTCTTCTTTTAAAGATGTTAATTGATCTTGATCAGTCAGGGCGATGTATGACCTTGCCGATAAAACACCCTTTGAAATAAAATGGATTGTCTGTTCTTTTAATAGTAAATTATTTGAACAATTAATTATTTAATGGTTAATTACTTATGTTGTGTTATTTAGCTACTGGTTGTTCAATAATTTGTTAAGTAATGTCAAGCCAGGTTTCTGACTGCTCCTCACTATTCAATAAAATTATTTACGTGTGGTGATTAGTGACCGTTAATCGATAATTATTCAGAAATACTAGATCGCATCTCACGATTTCTGAATAAAATTATTTACGCTGAATTTATTTTACTGAGATCCAATACACCTCTATTCTTTTTAAATTAATTAAAAGTACATCAAAGTATACACATATAAATATTGATCAACAAATTTAATGCATCACTCAATTTTTTTAGTTTAAAATTATATCCATTATCTTTCCTCATTAGTTACCGGTAATGAGGAGCTATCATAGTTAAAATAAACAGTAAATAATGCTTTGTACACTTCCTTTATTTACTTGTATACTTTAATCCCATTTGCACAAAAAGTAGCATGATGCCCTTCCATTCTCTACGCCTAAAGATTGCTTTCAGTCTTTTTCCTGCATTGATTTTATTTGATATTATTCTTACTCTTAAACCTTTTTAAATGGATACAATCATACATTTGAGTACGACAGTGTCATGGTCATAACATTATTCGAGAAAGGATACACCAGTACAAAGTCACTAGTAGACCGAGTGTAAATCACTCTACAATAGGAAGAGTTCTTCGACGCTTCAGACAAACAGGGGTTCACACTAGAAGGCCAGGACAGGGTTGAACGACTAGGTCTATGGATGAGAGAGATGATAGGTTCATCCGTCATCAGGCTCTACAAAACTGCAGCATTACAAGAAATGAAATAAGAAATCTGATAAGACAAGTACAAAATGTTTCTATTTCCCCCAAGACTGTAAGAAGAAGGCTCAATGACTATAACCTCAGGGACCACCTGGCTCGTGGACATCTTACACAGCTCAGAAAATGGCCAATTTTCAATTCACAAGGGAACAGGTGAATTGGACATTGGATGATTGGGGACAAGTTCTCTTTACAGATGAAGTGAGAGTTGGCTTCGAATCTTCACGTGGGCATAATTTAATATGGAGAAGCTCAGGAGAATTAATGTTCTGTCCTGAAAACTTCTGTTTTTTGCACTGAAAAACTCGCTATTAACGGCCTAAACAGTATGTAAAAAACCCTAAAATTTATTATTTGTTTATTTACTTATTTTTTAGATTCTGTTTGTCCTCATCATCCAATAAGTTGTAAGGTTTCTTTTGTTTTATTGCATTTGTGTGGTGTACTGATTAGTAGGACAGAAAGCACATAAAGCACACTCAATTAAATTGCTTTTGTAAAAAACTTTTTCTTGCTAAAAACAAGAGATTAAGAATCAGGAAGTAAAAGAGACTGTTGTTCTGATCATTTTTTGCTCCATGAACTTAACATACTTTATTATTTATTGGTTAATTGTTCATAGTTTATCATAGTTTAATTACCTCTATTAAAATGACACCAACTCTAATTAAAAGCTACTGAGTTTAATATTGTATACAACAATGGACAAAACAAAGACAACTTCATATTGCAGTCCATTAGCTGAAATACTACTTGACAAAACTGATACTTTTTGCTTTCATGGTATTTTAATTGTTTAAATATAGGATACGTTGAAAGCTCCCCTTTTTCATAATGTTAAGAGCAACGGAATGTAAAAGAGCTTAATATTGCAAACAGACTATTTTTTACTGAGATTGATTTTTTTCCCTCTGAATATAAGAAAAAATTAATGATCAAGAATATGTAAAAGATCTTCAAATTACAAACAGAATCTTCTATTTCTATTTATAGTCAGGCAAGTAGTAAAGTAGCAAATCAAAGAGTAAGATTAGAGTTCTTTGTTTTTATGATATTTCTACAATTTATTGTCAATTCTAAAGCCAAAAAAAAAATTGTTTAAAATTATAATTATTATTTTATTTTTTTTAATTATTATTATTATTATTATAATTGATGGTCTAAACAGTATATAATCATCATATAAATTTTCATACAAAATCTTCTATTTGTCTTTATCAACAGGCAAGTAGTAAAGGTAGTAGAAAAACTTGTAAATGTCCGTTTCTTTTGTCGTGTGGTATTACATGTTATTTCAAATCACACATAAGATCATCTTTTATCCAAACCAAGAGAAGGAAGTCTTGTTGATAAAATTTATGTCTTGTTTATTGAGTTTACTTGCTTTATTGGAACTGTATATATACAACAGTATATTTTTTTAAATCAGAAAACGAAATATCTGAGTCAAAACAATATCTGAGAATTTTAATCAAATTGTACAAAAGCAAAAAAAATTGTCAATAAATTTGTTTCTCTTTATGTTTGGTGTTATGTGAAAGTTCAATTACATGCAGGATCTTTATTTGTCCAAACCAAGAGCATTAAAACAAGTTGATAAAACTTGTATTTTTTTCCATTTACTTGCTTTGTAGATTTTTTTTTTTTTTTTTTAATCAATATGAATCAAAACAATATCTGACTGAACTTCAATCTGCAAGTACAATCTTTTAATTGTCCTGATCGTAAGACAAGTTGCAACATAGCAGAGCATTTTTTTCCATTACTTACTTTGATTTGATATTGCTAAGGTAAATTTTTATCATCAATCAAATTGTTAAGAATAATTTTTTTTTTTGTATGTAAAAGTTCAATTTCATGCAATATCTTCTAAATATCTAAGAGAACTTCAATCTCCAAGAAGAATCTTTTATTTGTCCTGATCATCAAACAAGTTTTAAAGTAGCAGAACATTTTTTCTTTATATCCTTTGACTTTCTTGATGAGAAAAGACAAAAATGATTTTTTTTTTGTTCTTGAAAACTTCCACTTTTAGCACTGAAAAGAGAAATTAAGAGTTTGATCCATATGTAAAATGAGATCAATTTTCACACAGTATCTTTGTCCTGATCATCAGACAAGCTGTACAGTAGCAGAACTTGTTGATAAGTGTATCTTTTGTCGTTTTATATTATGATTGACTTCAAATCACATGCTTCTATTATATTGCAGGTTCATCAATCAAGTAGAAATGTAGCAGAAAAACATGTCAATAAGCCTATTTCTTTTATTTGGAGATCGTGAGATGCAGTCTGGTGTAACATAGGTTTAGAAAAAAAATTTTCTTTATTGTATCAACGTTTCGATCTTGATTGTGATCATTTTCCCATGAGATCATAAATCCCAGGCCCTGAAGATGATCTCAATAAACATCAAAACGTTGGCATGATAAAGAAAATGTTTTTCTAAACCTACGTCGCACCAGACCGCATCTCACGATCTCCAAATAATCATTAATTAACAGTCACTAAACACGACGCACACCTATTTCTTTTGTCGTGTGAAACTTCAATCACTTCAATTGCTAAGGACAAGTTTTATTAGAAAACACAAAAATAATTTTTTGAAAAGTTGTGCTTTTAGCACGGAAAAGTGCAATTAACTTTTAGTAAACAGTAAAAGAATATAAATTTTCACACGGCACCTTTGTACTGATCAGCAGACAGATTGTAAAAGCAGCGGAAAAGCTTGTCAATCAGTCGTTTTCTTTTGTTTGACTTTGTAAGAAATTGTATACAAAGGGAGGTTTTTCCTGCCAAGTATGCCCAGTTTTAGTAAGTAAAAGCGCTATCATACAATAACACAGCACCATCAACTTTTGTCATTGCAGACAGTGCCGCTTTATAAATAAACTTCAGTTTTGTTATTTACACTCATTTTAATATATAATCTTTAAAGAACAAATTTTCGAAATTCTTGTCAAGTATCCCGACCTTATAAACTTGTCCGTAGGTCCCATTGCCGACGACTTCTATCAGCTCGAAAATCCCAGCCGGGTCCTGCAACAAGGTGAAGAAGTCTTTTAGAAGACGCGGAAGAGAAACAGAACAAATTAAAGGTAATTAATTAATAGAATAAGGCCGAGATAAGAGAAAGCGGTGCGAAGCAGGCCGACCTATCGATCATCCGGTCCTTCCTGATAAAAACTCGTGATTCGGATTCAAAGGAAATTCTACGCAGCGGTGACTCATGGAAAGGAGCCGCCGTTGAGTCTCGCCCTTCTAAGTACTGACTTCTGTTGTAAATAAAGACACGATTAAAATGGAACAAGTGTTTTAACATAAACAAATGTCAGATTGAAAGCGCGAGGTCTGCTTCGTCCCGATTTTCTATCAACCGGTGAGGAAATCCAAACCCGGAGGGGTTCAATATTTAAACAAAAAGAAACGATTTTTTATTATTTCTTGAAAAAATGATTTACCTTCAAAGTGTTCAAGTCGATATCGTCTAGGGAACAATTCACAGTGGGAGCTAAATTATGCGCCATCTTGAAAATTCTCGACGGCAAAGCCAAGTCGGCGGATGAATCGCGGATTTACGATCGGATCGACGATTTTTATTTAAAAGATCACCAGCAGAAATGCGACCCGTTGATCGGCTGCCCGTGACTTTCCTGCTATCTGCTCTTCCCCAGCATAGCCGCCTCCGTTTCACGACATGACACTGGACTTTTTCTACCGAGACGGGTCCACACCTACTTATCAACTGCTCGGGGTGACGTCACGCCGATATCCTCGTCCTTTCCAGTTCCCACCCCTTCTCGCCGTCGGTCCCCACCCCCGGCCAGGCCTCCCTTCCAAGTTCCCACCACCTCACCGGCGCTGCCTCTCGACGAGAAAAAACCACTTTCGCACCTCTTGGAAAATTTTCATCTTCTGCACATTTAGACCTCTGTTTCAAATTTGACAAAAATACAGTATATTTCATACTTTAAAACATTTGTACAAGCATAAGTACAAAAATGCCGACAGGAAACCCAAGTTGAAAATTGGTTATAATGCAAGTTGAAGTTAAGGCATAACATCAGTATTTTAAAGCAAAATCTATTTTTTTGACAAGTATTCATTTATTAATTATAAATCAGATTTTTTTTAAAGGAAACATTTTAAAAACATATCATTCAGTGGATTTCGACACGAGTTCACACTAGCCGTACTAACTCTGATTTGCAGGAAATCCAAGTAGAACATTGGTCATGCAGCAAGTTGATGTTAATTATCTTGTCAGTAGTTTACAGTAAATTCTATTTGTGTAACAATTATTCAATGAATTAATTGTAAATCATTTTTTTTCTTTCTACGAAATCTCTTAAAAACATCATTCGGTGTTTTTTGACACAAGTTCATACCAGCCATACAAACTCTGATTTGCAGGAAACCCAGGTTGAACATTGGTTATGCAGCAAGTTGATGTTAATTATCATATCAGTAGTTTACAGTAAATTCTATTTTTGTAACAATTATTCATTGAATTAATCACAAAATAGATTTTTTTTTTTAGGAAACATCTCAAAAACATTGAATTTTCACTAAGTTCATATTAGCCATATGAACCCAGACCTCAAGGAAAGTTGAAAATTTTATCATCATGCAGCAAGTTGGATGTTAAATAAGGTTTTACATTTTTGTAAAATTATAAATAAACATGTGTAGTAGTTAAGTAATGATTGTTTAGAGATCATGAGATGTGGTCTGCCTGGTATGATGTAGATTTAGAAAAACATTTTCTTTATCGTGCCAATGTTTCAATCTTTATTGCAATCATCTTCAGGGCCTGGGTTTTATAAACATTTATTTAAATTATATAAATACATATAAGATATGATTATGAATTTATACAATATAGAAATTTTAGTTTTAATCAAAGTATTCACTCAAAATAGATGTCACTGTTGTGTCGTGCTGAGTGTTGGCACGATAAAGAAAGTGTTTTTCTAAACCTACATCAAACCAGATCACAACTTACGTTCTCTAAATAATCAATAAACATATTTCAAAAATTTGATTTACTTTAGAGTTGTTAAAACATCATGCCTCACTAAGGTTGTTTATCTACTTGGGTTCCCCTGCATATAAGGAGTAAAATCAACTACAATCAAAACAATAATTATTTGATTTATGTAACGAATTATGATCAAAACACTTCCTTCAATATCTTAAAAAACCAACTGTTGCATAATCAAAGGGACTATGAGAAACAAAAAAAATTGTGTGAATCTTAATGTTTTGTATTGTAAAATATCTTTCTTTTTTTTATAAATGTAATTAATGCTGGATTAATTTTCATTATACATAGCCAGAGAATATTTAATTGAATAAATGTTTACATTAAATTTCATCATAAGATTTTGCTGTATACATTATTCCATGTTTTTTTAATAAGGGCAATCAAAATTCAGGTTTAACATCAGTATCATGAATTTCTTTTATTACTTTTCCCTAAATTCTTATTATAGTTACTATTATTTCTGTTTTTTATATTTTGTGTTGTGATATGGTTCAACTTATTATGTTGTTAAACCTTCATTAATTCAAGTGCCAGATTTATAAACTTTTGTGACCTTAAGGATATTCTTAGGGGACTCTAGTCCCAGAATAAAGTATTTTTTTCTCTCTGATATCTCTCAAAATCATTATGAATTGTAGTGCCTGTAACTCCCCCCCCCCCAGTAGTATATTAGATAATTGCAGTATGACATCAGTTATAATCTACTAAATTACTTCACTAAGTCTAAGTTGAGACCGCAACCTGAATGAGATCAACGGATTGAATAAAGTCTGGAATGTTTTATTTTTAAATACAGTTCATTCTCCAACCTAGGGTAAAACCCGTTCATCACACATGCTTAAAAAACAATCTGATTATAATTGGATTCGCGTTCCCATCATTAAGTTTCGCTCGACACTTTCACCATTATTGTTGGTCAGTCTTTCTTCCTCCTTAATAAGTTGTTGATTGAAAAAGGAAAAAAGCTTGTATATGTAAATTATATCCTATTAATAAAACGAATCTTGCCCTTAACTTTTATAAAAATATAAATCCTCATTTACTCTTAAGTCTAAATTTTAAGCTTTATATATTGGGTAATATTAACTAAAAAGAAAATTAACCAAGGCAGGAATAATAAAACACGTTAATAAAAAGGCCGTAGATTTTATTACGACAATAACATTAGGCTCACTTGCCCTTTTTAGCTTTTATTTTCCTTAAATAAAATTCTAGCTCTTTCCCCTCGAGGATGTAACCATCAGCCCTGCCACATTGTCCAGGTCGACTTGAAATGCAGGCTGAAAAAAATAATAAAGGAAAAAAATTAAATAAAAAATTACTGGTTTTGAGATGTTGCTTTACTTTTTAAATTTTTAATTTGCTCACCTAGTACTCTTGCGGTTTGAAACTGTTCCTCTAAGGCAGGCTCAACCTTGGCCAGTTTCTGCCTAGTTTTGTATTTAAGTGCGACCTTCTTAGATCTCTTTTTGTACAAAACTGCCTCTTCCGCTTCAGTCTGAAATATTTTGTTGTATTAGTAAAAATATTTAACCCCCATTAAAATATACAGAATATGATTTGACTGTCAGATTAGCCATTATGATCATGTTTATTACAAAGATTTGTAATGAAATCATATGACACGCATGAATTCATTATCATCAATTAGAAACTAGTTGTTCATTGATTGGCTTCGATTTTGATTAGTTAACATCTATTCATTTCATATAATTTTTAATATAATTGAGCTCTCAGAGTAACTATGACAAAACAGACATCATCACCACAACAACCCTTCAAAACGAAGAAATATAAATGTGGTTCTTACTTGTTAAACTGACATCACAGAGCACTAAACTTAAATTAAAATTCCTGCTGCAGCTTTTATTGGCATTTTTAACAATTAATATTTTGTGAAAATTAATATGGGAAATTCAATATTCAAACAGTAAAGTACTGATAGTGGTTTAAAAAATTTATTCTTTATTTAATTGAAATATTTTTATATAATAATTTTTGATTAATATTATTTTTTAAATAATTGAAAGAAATAATTTGGTCAATAGATCATTAAATATAATGGATTATTTTTTAATAATAATTTTTAAAACTAAATTATTTTTTGATTTGTAAAACAATATACTAAATACCCTCAAACATTAACAGCACACTTACCAAGATCTAAGATTCATAACTGTTTTAAAAGTTTAAGTTAACTGAGAAAAACCAAAATTTATACGTAGCATAAGATTGCAACTTCGAAAAATCAAATGTTTCATATGGAATAACTTACGAAGTACCCAAATAAACGATTGAATGACAAAAATAAATGAAAACCCCAAGTTGGAATGGCTTCCGATCCAGTGCAATCTTAGAATACCCAATATGGGAGAGTACTCAAGGAAATGTTGATTGTCAAGCTATCAACAAATTAATGGAAAAATACATCTTTCCACCGAAAAACTATTATTATCAAAACATCGAATATGATAAATTAGTTTAATAAGATAATTTAAGTTGAACTAATCACTGTTTTAATGAGCTCTCAGAGTAACTATGACAAAAAGTCCAGATCATCACCACAAACCCTCTTCAAAACGAAGAGATATAAATGTGATTCAAACTTTACAATTTTTCATCACAGAGCTCTCATAAAAAAACCAACCAATCAATTTTGCATCATACAACCCAACCAACCAATTTAACTTTTCAGACTTACAAGCTTTGCATTCTTCTTTCGGCCAAGGGGCAAAGCATAATGGGCTTCATACCACTGTCTGAAAGGTGTTGCGTCAATCACGACAATGGCATTTTTCACCAATGTCTTGGTACGGACCAACTCGTTGTTGGAGGCGTTGTAGACGACATCCATGACACGAGTTTTCCTAGTACAGCCTGAAACAAAAACCAAACTTTTACCAGTACTACTTTGATTCAATTATAATATCTAAAGGTTGTTTTAAAAGAATCAGAGCGCTGTGGTAATAATTGGAAGTGTCATCAATTAACTTATGTATATTTAATCATCATTTGCTATATTAAAAAAAAAAAAAAATCATTTTGTTTTTGACATCCTACCTTCAGAACCCCAGGAGAAGTTTCCATGGTCAAGGCGAAGCGCACGGTATTTAGTGTTTCCACCTCTTGTTCTCACAGCATGCACTCTTTTTACTCCAATCTGGGAAGAAGAAAATTTTTTTTTAACTATGATGAAAATCTATATATGAATTTTACTAAAAAAAGTTTTATAAAGCTTCAGAGCGCTGTGGGAAATATTGTACTAGTTAGTTATCTTCATGTAACTTCAGTACAGGCTATCATCATAAGCACTATTAATAAATTATAAATAAGAAAAACAAAATGTGCAGAAAATGTGAAAGTTGTACATAACCAAACTACAGGATAGTTACAGATCTGGGAAAGAAAGCTTAAGTTAATTAGTAAAAGGATATTAATTATTTATTCTTTTATTATTGATCATATCTGCTTCTGCCCTATAAACAATAGATGTATGGTGTAATAAAAGAATGAGCAATTCGAACTTTGGACATCTGTAGTAATTCTTGGAACTAAAACTGTAACTAAGCATATAGTAATATTTCTGAACATTATGAAATCTATTCTGAAAATTTAATAAGAATGTTTCATATAACTTATGAGCAATATCTAAACAAAATTGTCAAGGCATAGAGAAAAGATTATAGCTATGTTACATCAGGCCATGCTGTTTTTATTTTTTGATTAGACACAACAGTCCAACAAGGCATTGCACTAGTTTATACAAAATAAGGCAGCTCCATAAAACTCATGCTACAATATTTCACTAAACCACATCTTTCTTTACTTTCTAGTTGTATATGTTTTTAAGTCACATTTCAATTTTTTATGATTAGGACTGGAAAGAAGACAGTTAACATAAGCAGTTCAAGTCAAAGTTTATGCAATTGAGAAGCATATTCAAGTTAAATAATTAACACTTAACTAAATAATTAACATATTTGACTGTCTACGGCAAGAGAAATACAAGTAATTCCAAAAAAAAAAAAAGTTACATGCAAATAATGCATTAACGGGCACAGGAAAAACTAATTACTCCTACCCTAATGAGAAAATGTGTTTTCTAATTATTTGGAGGTCGTGAGATGCGGTGTGGTGTTTTTAGAAAAACATTTTCTTTATCGTGCCAACGTTTCGATCTTTACTGAGCCCTGAAGTGAAAGATCGAAAAGACATGATAATGAAAGTGTTTTTCTATAACCTACGTGATGTAGGATGTAGAAAAACACTTTCTGATGACTGAAAAAAACGAATATGCGGGGTGAAAGGAACATTAAACAACATTACATTCGGGCATCAGCAGGTAGCAAATTCCCTACAGCCCAAATGTATTCTTGGGAGAACAGGCGAAAAGGCCTCACTAACAAGGGCTGATCCACAATCAAAATTCCCACAAATTATTTAGTGAAGGCCAATTATCTATCACCAATTCATACTGCAAGACTATGCTTTAAAATAATAAAGGTATAGATTCACTTTTTATAAATGATACATCAATGCAACCATCTTGTACAAATAGTCTATGCATAGGTCATACAAGAAAACACATGGGCACCTTTTGGTCATAAAACGACCATGGTGGTCGTTATGCAAATATAGAATAACAGTTGAGCCCCTTTTCAAATGTAGAGGGTTGGACAAATATAAGCAGTATTTTGGTGTATTCTTGGATTTGTGCGCAGTATCAGGTATGACAGTGAGCACAGATCAGTATCAGTATCAGCTCAGGGCTACATGGATTTTTATATCTATATGGTATTTATGTATGTTTATGCTAATTTATCAGAATGAAAACTTATTGGCATGAAAGAAAGGAGATAGTTTGAGGAAATCGAGTACTCACTTTGGGGCAAGTGTATTATGTCTGTGGAGTAAAAGTTATTAGTGGGAATGGAGTGGGTTTAATATCTATTCTACAGTTGACAACGTGAAGTGCAAATGAGAGGCTAGCATTTTAGTATATTGAGTTTTCCTATGAAAGCAGATAGTAATAGATCGAAATGCTCAAATAGCTGCAGACTGAATACATGCAAGGAAGACCGGAACAAGAAATAAAAACATGCAAAGTGCTGGCATTGACCCCAGTTATTTGTCAGCCCCAAAACTTCCCACATTGTTATTATTATTTACAAGCATAGTACGGAATGGGTAAATATCTGCAGTGATGAACATAGCCTTCGAGGAAATCTTTGTGCGTGAACCACATAATAAAGTGAAATGTGTAAAACATGCAACTAAAACAACAAGAACAGATTGACTGGGATGATCAAACAGCAAAATTACAAATTTTACCTACTTCGAACTACAAGATACCTAATTTGAAAAGTTAAACAGTCCAGGTGCTTACAATTAAATAACTTCTTCGTTAACTTAAACAATTCTCGTGCGATGTGTTTTTAAGGTCTGCAGAGTGACCTTTACAAACAGCCTCTGAATTAGGTGAAATGCCAAAATGAGTTTGACGGAGCAAACAGGCTGATCAGGATGGGTGAAATCAACTAAAACTTTTCCTTTTTGAACTTCTACTTTGATGACCATTTATATTAAATGACGTTGGCAATTTTCTATGGGAACCATGGTCTGGGGTATCCCATGCCTAAAGATCTACAACCTCTAAGTTGTTTCAACGTGTGTAACTATTATAGTTAGGCAAAATTCAGAAAAGTGTTAATGAAAACTGTTAAGATTTAAAAACATAGAAAACTTTTTTTTTTCATAGCATGCACATGTTAGAAAATATCGTGTACATGGAGGTTAATGTGGTATATTACAAATCCACTTATAAAATGAATGAAAATTCCTTTACCTTAGTGTTGGCAGCGGGTCGCCCTAATTCGTATTTCCTCTTCTTACGAATAGGCTTCCTCTTTCCTCCGGTCTTCCTCCTCTTATGCCAATGATCCCGGGATATACCTGTTCAAGTAAAGCCATGTGTTTAAATAGAACGGGAAATTTTTGGTAAAATAAATTTTGATAGTCCTCGTTTAAAATCTGGCCGGCTTTTTCAGTAATTAGTATCTCTCATTTAGAAAAAAAATCAGAGTAGGTAAGGTAAAAAGTTCATCACGCCAAAAGCCGACCCCGAGAGGTTAAGACAAAACAAAACAAATCGCGAGGAAAACACGAAAATCTCTTTAGCACCAAATATTTAGAAAAATCGAAAAACTATACAAGAACAAATTTATGTAGAATCTATTTAAATCGAACAAGGAATTAACTAGATGAATTAGGATAATGGTCGTAGAAAACAACTCACCCATTCTGTCGACTGTAGTCACAGGAAAGGTAGAGCATGTGGACAAGAATGTTAAGGTTTCCTTAATCGCACAGCGACAATTCGATACTTGATCGCGGTCGTCAACTACAAACTGAAATTGCAAATAAATAACAAGTAGTAAAGCGTTTTTATTAAAATAATACTTTTTAAAAAAGTCAAAAATTATTTCATATTTAAAAATAAAACTACTTATAATAAAAATATAAAAAGTTAGTCAAGAGAACAAGGTGTTGATGCCGAATGCCGCCCAGTTGGAAGAACCATTTTTTGCCAACCAGTTGTTTAAATTTTAGCACAAATTTGCCGACTTTCAGGTAAAATATAAATTTAAATTTCGATTTCAATGAATTTTAAAAGAAGTGTAATAATTCCCAGTTTGGTTTTATAATTCTTGCTCCTGCTTGTTTCAAATTCAATTTTACCGGGTAGAAATGTGCGTTATTTTAGCGACCGGTTGTTCAATGATTTGTTGAAGTAATGAGTTACAGTAAGAAATGAAATTTTTTAGATAAACACTTTTTTTTAAATTAAAATTAAATTAAATTAAAATTATTGCGGTTAATGGCATTTAAAAAAAAATACAATTCCAGAGTTACTGCATTCCCCACGCTGTGAGTGTCAGTATGAAATAATTGATTCAAAATTTATATTTACATCATCTTTTTCCAGTCAACATATGCTTTGTAATTTTCCCAGAGGCTCTGAAGGTGACCCGAATAAAGGCCGAACGACGGCAAAAAAAATTAAAATTGTGTTTTTCTAAAATACTTCGTTACTTACCATTCCCTACTACTTCAACAAATTATTCAGTATTACTATTTGATGCCCTTTCCATTCTTTCTTTTACATTGGAGTCAAAAAAATAAATCTTAACAATAATTTACAAGTATATTCTTACTAAAAATATTTAAACATAAAAAAAGCCATAATTTAAAATATATATTTTTTATATATACCTCAAACTTTATTGTAACATAAGTACATTTTAGTTTTGCTGTATTTTCAATAAGTATGGTGCTATGTTAAGGCCCTAATTCATGTGGGACATGATGTGGGATTATATCCACTGACAGTGTGTACAGATTAATTTAAAAATAATAAGTGTAATGGAGAAACGAATATTTACTGTTTAACAGATAGTAGGGACTAAAGCAAAAGGAGTGCATTTACATTATTTTCAGTTTTAAAATTTTATGTAATAGTCACTATTTAGTTTTCAAATGTCAGTTGTTTCAGGGTGGTGGTGGGTTAGCAGAAATTTCTCGTAGCAAAGGGTTTGGTGTGTGCTCATACTTATTTCATTCTTGTGTAGGCATTGGTGGCAACATTGGCTCCCATCGGTATTTTTAGGTCACTATAAAGAGATGTTCCTCACATATCATGGGACTTTGTTATTAACCTCAGTACCCAATTTTGAAGCCTGCACCCATTTCACTGGAGACTTGCTCGCTGATGCCCATATTTCACAGCCATATTGGTCTTTTCACCGACACGTACATACAACGTTTCTTGTCAAGAGATAGTTTAGACTTTTTGTTGAGAAGAAAGTAAAATTGTCTGTTCGGTCTCTGAGATGTACAATCTGGCCAATATGTTTGTCAAATATAAGTTTTTGCTCAAGGTTTGATGTTAGATGGCTTCCAGAGGAGATTTATCAATGACATTTCTCCACCTACTTTATAAATAAAAGTTACCAGTTGTGATTTTTTTTGGTTAATCTTCCATCCTCCACTTTTCACACCAGTTGCTTATTTGTTGGGTGAACGACTGTATTTTCTGCAAGGCTAATGTAAGTATTTCTGATAGTCAGACTTGATGGATGGATGAGTGCAGCGTTTCTTGTAAAATATTTACATATATGTGAAGGCATGAACTCGCTGTTTTTTTGGTCTGTCAGATTTCAGAATTATTCATGCAAACAGATAGATATATACATTTTGCAATAAGAAAAATACTAATTTGTCCATATGAACAATTTAAAACTTAAATTATACATTTGTAATAAACTATATATTTTGTAAAATGTTAAACAAAAATAATTATTAAAAACCTATTAATAGAGTATAAACATATACATTAACTTATAAATATGTACTAAGAAATCAGAACAATTTTGATATTCTGCTAAGCAGTGATAATATTAAAACTTCCAATTATAATAAAAAGCCAATAGTAAAAATCTAATTATACTGAATAACTATGAGATATGGTTGAATGGTTTGTGAGGAATTACTGAATATATCTATTTGCAGATACTTCTGAATAAAGTTATTAACTATTTTCAGGAATCGGTTGATACTACAATCAATAAGATAATCATGAGTTATGTGAGAAATGGAAAAAATTATTTGATTATGGAGTGGAATTTGGAAATTTAGGTAACAAAGTAACAAGCAAGATAGGTAACTTAAAAGATTTATTGCTATCGAACTAAGAAACTAGTAACAGAAGAAATGGAAGAAACAACATTATTAATAAATAAAAGAAACAATAGTGGTCCTAAATGAGAACCCTGTGGGATAGCAGAACAAGCTAGGTTGTGGCAATGTATGCCCGGGACCTCGAGTTTTGGTCATTCTTGAGATGGATTGTGGGGGCCTCCCTGGACTCTTGAGATGAGAGAATCTCCAGTGAGCTTTGTAGTGTTGATGGTGACTAGACACCGACCCCTCCTCGATAAAGCCCTCCACGTAATGTTAATATTAAAAGAATTAGCCACAAGTGATCTGCTCTTTCCCTGCCTAAGGCTGCCCCAGCACCATGGTTTGTGGGGCTGCTTAAAGTGATTATCTAAAGTTTTAAGACTTTTGTCGGCAATAATCAAAACAAAATATTTCCATTTTTTATTTTTTATTAACAGTCTTTACATTTTTCAAAATATACTATCTAAAATCATCAAATGTAACTAACTATAAAAGGAGCTCATAAATGTGGTAATCATCAATTTATACATACATTTTTTGTAAAAAGAAAAACTCTTCCACAACATTGTGTTTATCAGAACAGAAAATCACATTTATTTTCATTGTTTTGATAAATTTAACATGTAGCAACAAATGTAAGACATTGTTCACTAACACTAGTTAGAAAAACTGAACTCTACAAAACATTTAATATTTAACACACAAAAGACAAACATCATCACAACATATGACTTGAAAAAGGGGCACCAAAAAGAAAATGAGCTCACCTCTTATTAAAAATACTTATTCTTATACTATTAAACAATAGTATATTACATATTAAGGCATACAAATCTTACTGAGCCATGAATTAAACAACATATTATTAAACAAGAAAAATACTATATTAAATAAAAAATATAAAAAAATATGTAGGACTTTATTTTTATTGAAGTTGGTTCTTAAGTAATCACATTAATCTCGCATTTAATAACTTCAATTACTTTCTTGAAACCTCGACACACTTCCACAGTTGAAAATGCTGAGCAAAGTATAAGGAAAAAACAATTTTCAACTTTTTAGTTTTTCTTTCAAAATAAATTTCTGTAATTAAATATAGAATCATGTATGATACGATTTATTATTATGAGAGAAATAGCAGACTTCTATAGATTTTCTATTTATAACTGTCTGGTGAACATGTCAGATTAAATACAATACAATTTTAGTACAATTTAACAATCTAACATCATTTGGACATTCAAATAACAATAATTGACATTTTCCAATTGGACTTTATTTTGTATAAAATAAGTAACTTTTTAAATGACCTGTGTTGGTTAAAAAATAATACAACATAACACTTGGGCTTGTTTCATGCATATTTTAAACAAGTAGTATATTTGCATTGTGCATTCATATGAATATTCAAAACCTGCTTAACAAAATCATGATTGAGGCAATCACAAAATTTAGTAGATTATTTTAAACTTATTCTTTCATTAGTCACAAAGTTGAGCAAGTAGATGAACTGAGTGTAATGGGCCCACACTTTTATCACACAAAAGAAACCTTTCTAAGTTTAAAATGGTTTCTATTTAATAACTTGAAGAACATTTATGGAATGTTTTTTCTCGTTTTAATCCACTAATACTATTTTAATTATGCATTTACATCTATAGTGCCGATTAACTACTTTTTTCAATAATCAAAAGTTAAGCGTAGTTAAAATTTTCAAAAGCAATACTCCATGGCTTCTGAAACTTATGAAAACATCATTTAAAATTAGGTTCTTATATACACATTCAATGGAAAACAATAAGGATTTATTTTTTATTCTTGGAGCTCCTCAGTTTATATCCATGTTTGCGTTTAATAGCATTCCTTTCTCTACTCCATTTTACATTGAGTTCAAGAGAGAGAGATAGATCTTCTTGTTTCTGTCTTATTTTATCCTTGACCTCACTCTGCTTTGTGATCAAGTCGTAAGGTATTTTCTCTGGCTGTTCATTGCTGCTTGAATAAACAGTTAAATTTGAATCTGGCTTGTTCATGATAATTTCACTTTGACATTTCGCCTGAGGTTTGGTTCGGGTGAAATTGTTCGACGACACCTTGAGCATCATCTTGTTCTTAAGACTTTGAAACTTACTTGGCTCTCTACCATCAAAAGTGCTAGTAAGATTCTTTGGTTGATATATGGGAATGATTTGTTTTTCACCATCTGAAATTAATTGTTTATTAAGAATAAATTACACAATAATAAAAAATATTAGCATTTTGTTATACATACTTGGCATTACTTTAGGGGGTGTCCTAGGAACTGCACAAATTGGAGTGAAATGAGTGAATTCTGAAGTAATTGAATCACGCCCAGGGACTTGATTATCTACAAGAAAAATAAATAAATAAACCATTCTATAACAAGGCTAAACAGTTTTGTAATTTAAAAAGTATGTAAATGCACATAATTAATTACCTGTAGAAAGTGAGGATGTTGATGGTGAACAGAGCATCTGAAACAACACAGTTGTGAGGGAACTCAAACAAACATAGATCAATTTAATTTTGATTTTTACAGTCAAATGACACTACCTTTTCAGTTAATAAATCGTCTTGTGTGTATTCTTCTAACTCTTCATCAACGAATACTTGTTTTATTTCATTTGGAAGGGCTTCTCCCTAAAGTTGTAACAATATAAATATAAAATTTTCTTTGGATTTAAAAGTGGCTAGTTTCTTTTGCTTGTAAGCTTAAAAGTTAAAAATTCTTATTAAGAAGGATAGAATGAACATGATGATACCTGAAGTTTTTGGGGCAGATTTTCGCTACTGCTCTGCTGAGATAACTTATTCTCATCTTCTCTGGCCAATTTGGTAATCAATTCATCAAATTCAAGCTTAATGCTGCTTTTCTTGGTTGGGTTTGTTGAAGGAGTGTGGTCGATGTTCTTTTCTACAATTTGTTATTGCAAAGCGTTAAGATCTTGTACTGTATGAAATAACAATAATCAAACTATTTAAATGGAGGATCATGACTACTGTTAAAGCAACCAATTTGTTTCAATGAAATATTATGTAAAATACACTAAGTATATATTATATTTTTTAATGATGTAGGTGTTTTTGGAAAAAAAAATTCCATTTCTAATATTGTAGGGTTCAATATTAATTCCAATTCAATAGAAATTCCATTTCTAATTCAGGACTGGTTTAAAAGTGTATCAAGTGTTGTAATTAGTTTTTCTCATCAAAGCTGATTGAATTTATTCTCATTATTTGTGTTGTAGTCAAAGTTCTATTGATATCGTCTGCAATGGTATTCATTCTTTTAGTATATTAACAAGTCTTACATTGAGTTTTATTATTGCAAGGTCATGGTATAAATAAATAATCATTACTAATCAAAGCGCTAGCCATAAAAAGTACATTATCTTATTATCTTTGTTCTGCTTAATTTTATATTCAATCAAATGACAATCATAAATTAGTTGCTGGAATATTTATTACTTAAAAAAAGCTTTAGATTGTGTTTGATGATTTTTTGCTACAACAAAAGAAAAAAGTAGGCATTAAAGGTATAGCTCTTGTTTGGCTAAAATCATATCAATCAAACACAATCAGTTAAATTCCGGCAATATGATAATTACAATGATTGTCTTTGTGTCAAACTGAGTGCCACCAGGTTCCAGTTTGGGTCCTATTTTAATCCTCTGCTTTACAAATGAATTGACTAAGCTTTGTAATGATAGAACTTTTTTACACATTGTCTTGCAATTTTAAATAAAATTTGTATAATCAAAATTATTTTATAAAAGTTTCAGCTATTCGAAAAAGGAAAGTTTAAGGGATTTTTTCATAATAGGATATTAAACTTATTCCTCTTTTTTTTGTGTTACTAATCATTTGTATAAAATGTTCTGAAAGTGTGAAGATTTGTCTTGTATTATTTTTTCTATTTGTACATGAGAAAGACACAATTTAAATGAAAGTAATAACTCAATGTTGAATCTCTTCAGAACTTAGTACTCACTGTGGTATAGCCCATCTTTGCCTTTTTGCTTCTTCTTGATTTCGTTGGGGAATTGAGACTTGACCTCCTCCCAGAACGGCTGGTTGACGATCTTCTTCAGGTTCTTGGCGAGGCGGAGGAAGGTGCCAATCCTCTTCCTGCAGATGGGGCAGACGAGGCTGTTCTTCTCTACCGTACGCTGCAGACAGTTGAGGCAGACGTCGTGGTTGCACGGCAAGGAGACAGGCTCGATGTAGATCTCCCAGCAGATGGGGCAGAGGACGTCCTGGACATCCAACTTCCTCAGGACGCGACGTGCGACCGGGTTGGACATCTCGCCGGTGAAGGCTGAACCTCCGGATCGTTAATTTTTTTTGACAAGAAGTGACGCCGGGTTAAAACGAAAGAAGAACTTGATCGACTTCTAGGTGCGATGATGGAAACTGACGAAAACCGTCAAGCATAAGATAGCCGGCAGAACGATAATCAAACACAATAACAAACCGAGACAGAACACAGACAGCTGATGCGTATTTGGTGAGTACTGCACAGCGCCGTCTCTTCATCTTTCGGTGGATTCAGAAACATCGGGTGGCGCAGGATTTAAAAACAGGTCCAAACAAATCCACCAGAAACTTGCTTACTACTCATAAACTCTTATATTACATTGCCATCTAATTAATGTGTTCTACATCTACAACCTATCATTAAAACTTACGCTAATAATGGCATTCCTTCTTCTATTTTTTATGTACTTCATTTAATGCATACAATTTAGAATATGATTTCTAGTGATGAATATTTACGTAAAAAATATGAGGTATTTCGTAGTAGTTTAATAATAGGATTACATTGCAGCGAGTTCTGCAAAGAGATAAACTTGTAGGTAATCACTTATAGTATATAAATAAAATATACTCTAATATCTTAGATAAAGTATCAGCTAGAACAAATAATTTTTCACGAATAAAGTATGTAATTGAACAATTTTTAAATAATTGGTTAAAAAAAGCGGGAATGAAAGGACAGTAGCATGTTTTCATACATATGTATCACAGCATACCGTTACTAGTTGTAAAATCATAAAATTCGTGTAATAATCCTTATCGTGTAATCTTGGCGCCCATCCGTATTAGCCTTTGTTCTTTGTTCTAAAACGTAAGACCTGCCGCTACTGTTGTGACTAAATAAATCATAAGTTATCAGTTAAGCTCTTACTCATAATACAAGTCCTTTAGACTCTAGCCGGCGTTTTGGAAGATAATAGTTTTCTATTTAAACTAAATGGTAAACTTAACGTACTAAAGTTTGAAAATTCTGTAGATGGTGATATAATCACCTAAACTTCTAAACCTAAACTATTAATTGCTTGTGTTTACATTCACCAAAACCATTTTTTTATTTTAATATTTTATAAATAAAATTGTTACAAAATAACCAGAAAAGTTCGAGCGATTTTTCATTTGCTATTATTCTCATTTTTGAAGTAATTATCCAACTTATACCTTACAATTACCAACTCTTGGTTCACCGCCTCGTGCAATGTCTTTCTGATGCTCGGTGTTGACGACCAAAGCGGCCTTTATTCCTAAAATATACACTGTCGAAATGAATTAAATGAAAAATATTGATCGTTATTCCTTAAACATTTTATTTTTCAAATATAATAGAGAGAATAACAGGTTTTGCGAGTCATCTCTTGATCTTAAATGTTTTATCTTTATCTATATTCAGTAAAGATCTGCAATTTTTGACCAGATCAACGATAATGCGATCACGTTTTGTGATAAGGATAAAATTCAAATTTTTTATAATTTTATCAAAATAGTCACTTATTCCTACCAGCTAGTCTTGTTCTATAAGTGGTATTTTATTCGAGAAAAAATAAAGTTTTTGTTTGTTTTTTAATTGTTATTTCCTTTAGTAAACAAAACATAGAATATATAAAGGAGAGGATATGGATGTTAATTGTTAGATTGTTTATAAACGTATATTTTATTTAACGAACTCATTTTACGAAAAACATTTATACAAACAGATACTACTAAAAAAGAATTGAAATAGCCACACAGATTATTCTAAGATTACTTGTATATACATATTGCCGGAATAAAATTAAAAGGCACAAGGAATGCACAAATTCTTTAAAATATAAAAAACAACAAATAACGTATTTAAAGCTCGTTAAAATAATTTTCATTGGTGTACATTATTGCAAAAATCAACTGTCGTTTTCATTATATTGCACAATGACCTGCTCTTTATAATCGGTTAATAAATTATTCACGCAGCTTCAACATTGACAAGTTTTATAAAATGTTTTGTACAGTAATTTTATGGAGGAAAATTTACATCATAAATAGTAAATTACAGTCTAACATTAGCTCACTTATTAAAGGTATAAAAAGCTTTTAAAAACAGTAGATATTACAATTAATTTACTATACAATAGATAAATATCGAAATTAAAATTATTTTAAATTTTCTAATAGTTTGGATTCTCTCAATGTTAAGACATTAAAGGAAATAAGTAACGCTACTAATGATTTTGAGAAAAAACTGGGGAAAAAGCTCTCGCAGGGAATCTATAAAGTATATGTACATTATTTACTTAAATATTTGAGATAAAAATTACTTCAATAAAAATACAAAGGTAATATTACGATAAATCTGGGGTAAAATGAAAATAATTATGTTAGTTATTGAAATTGATCGGTGGTAAGGGGACGTAGTCCCTAGGTTCTTCTCTGGCTTCTTCTTTGAAGCAGAATCCCAAATTGTCCCTCTTCTCCTGTTGTTCGTGGTACTTTTCCTCCAGCTGAGGCACATATTCGATCATGGGCTGTTTGTCCGCTCCGAGGTCCGCCATGGCGCCGTACTGTTCCTCTTCTAATGGTACAAATTCGTGGTTTCTCACAGGTCCGCCATAGGAATACTCGAGGTAGGGCAGGATATTACTGAAGACGTTAGAGTAAACCGGAGACGAAGGAGTGTTGTACGTGTTGGTGTTTGTGTACGGACTGTTCAACATGTTCGGGTGGGAGCCTATAGAATCGTAAGTGTACGAAGTCCAAGGGTCTCCTGAAGAAGTGGGTGCCGCTTGAGCCACCAAAGCCGCCTGTCCTTGGTTTCCGCTTGTCCCGGTGTATGTGTTCAAATTGGTCAAATTTGTAAATGCACCGCCGTTGCTTAAAGTTGATGTCGGTGAACCTGAAAAAAAAGTCAGTTAGGACGGTTTCCAGACTAAGAAAAAAAATGTTGCTGAGCTCGACTATCTTTGCAATAATAATTTAAACTTCTAGATTTTAATTATCAGTCAGACCAGAAAAAAACTTGCAAATTGTACATCACTTTATACAATTGAATAACAATCTAGTAAATTAAACCTGTAACCTATACAAGCCGAGCATCACATATACAAATAAATGTATCTCACCCTCACAGTAAAATATTTTGGTTCTAGGCATGAATTCACCTTAGAATAGAACCGGCTAAAGAATTGACGGAAAGGTCAGTTGATGACGACATGCAAATGATGCAGTACTAGACAAAGCTAAGAATATTGGTCGGATGGTTGGTACCAACGTCTGTCACTAAACATGGCACCTAATGAATGACTGGACCGCGAGTACCAAGTAAGAAAACAATCTTTTTTACATTTTCAAATTTGATTGTACTGTTCCTTAAATGTATCTGTTATACATTTAACATATATAACAGAGCTAGCCAAAATCGGATGTCGATTGTATGAGGTTTGAACAAATTTTGCATTGTGGTGACGTTACCAAATGGCCGTCAAGTCCTACTTGTACTTTAGAATATACACAACAAAGCTAAGAAAGAGAAGAGAAGAAAAGATCGAGAGAGAGAGAGAGAGAGAGAGAGAGAGAGAGAGAGAGAGAGAGAGAGAGAGAGAGAGAGTGCAAAGCATCGAGATAGAGTTGGCTTTAACAAAGTATATTTGTTTTGAAATAAATATAATCTGATAATATGATTTTCAATGAAAAGCTATCATGCTATCAATCTAAACTTAGATTTCTGTATAACTTATGGGATTTTCCCCCTTAGTTTGGTTTAATTTTTCTCCAGCTCGGTCTCGTAGTTGTTCAAGAAGAAAGAGCACCGTTGCCCACTTCTTAACAGGCTGCTTTGAGTAAGGTCTTATATCAAGGGCAAACTTACTTGCTGTTGGCATATATCCGGTCTTCCTCGGCGGTTCTCTTTTCCTCCATTTGGCTCTCCTGTTCTGGAACCAGACTTGTACCCTCCCCTCGTTGAGGCTGAGCTTGAAGGCCAGTTCTTCCCTTGCAAAAACATCAGGATAAGGCGCCCTTTCGAAAGCCCTCTCCAACTCTTCCAACTGGTACGAGGTGAACGTCGTCCTGTAAAACGAGCAGGGTTTAGAATAGTGGCAAAACTCGGCAGCCCAATTAATTCCGAAGGGCCCATATGACGTCCCTCATGTCCACGTGCCGGCCATATGACCTCGTCGATCATCCGGGCTGAACGATTACAATTAAAAACCAAAAATAAAAATAAAAAATTGAACTGCGGAATATTTGTACCTTACATTTTATGTTTTCACATATAATATAGGAAAAATCTGATCTTCCTGGTTTTTGAAACAACGAGGAAACCATTTTAAATTGTTTAAAATTATGATAAAGTCGATTTCTTCTCGTATTATTTTGCTCTTTTACTACTTGTTGCCCGTATCGAACGTTAGTGATTCCCATGAGAACTTCGTTTATTGCGATATAAGTATGTGGGTCCTCACTGTATTCAAATACTGTCGTTCGATTGGTTTTATAATGGACAATTGCAACGTGTGAACAAGGTAAATCGATTATAAAAAATCTTTTAATATCATGACATATAATAATTGTGTCTCATTTATTTTGTTTGTGTAGAGGTTATGTGGATTCTTTAAACGTTAGTTTGGTTAGTGTGGTTTAAATGTACATACCTGGTTTTTTTCTTCTTAACCCCGTTGTTATCACTTTTTTTACTTTTCGATTCTGACTTTTTACTACTGCTACTGCTCGTGCTTGTTGTGACTGCTTCGACAGCTACTGTAAATCAAAATAGCAATTTTTATAGATTTTAAACGGCGTCAAAAAAAGATTTTTTTTACGATAATGATACCTGGTGGTTCTTTGCGCTTTGGCGGCTGTTCCTCAATCAAAGTCATTTCTTCGGTGTGGTACATGCCTTGAAGCTGATCCATATCCGGACATTGAAGTCCCAACATAACCTGTTAAAAATTATAATAAGTTCAAAATATTTTTTCCCAAGATATTTCAATATTCAAAACTCAATATATGAAAAAATAACTACAAATCATCAATAATCAATCAATAATTAAATCACAATACAAGGCAGGCAAAATGACTAAACTGTCGTTAAACTACTATCGAAGCAAAGAAAGTCTGAATATTTATACTGATCTTTTTTATTTAGTTATTTCATTCTTCTTGACCAGAAAATTGGATAGGGTTCTCCAATATGTTTTGTCGCACTAATTTATTGATCATGAAGTCACAATAATAATAAACAGGGACATATTAATTATTAATATTTTTTTTAAATACTATACAATCCAAAATATTAGAACTAGTTAAGGCAGCTTTCTCAGATAATTAATAATTTTATTTGACCTAATGATATATTAGTAAATTTATTGTTTTTGTTGTTGGTTTAAATTAAAGTTTATTAAGTAAAAAACCTGCTTTTTGAATTTGTATGCAAATATATTTCTGATAAAGCTTCTTCGATTAAGTTTCGTTCACTTCTTTGTTTTTGTACAGATCTAAAATTAAAAAAACTAGGGTAGGCAAACTACATAGTCTATTAAATTGGAAAATAATTATTAGGACACTAGTATTTCTATGTTAATTTCAATTGGTGTCGGTAAATTGGAAACAGAGAAAGAAACAATAGGTGAAATGTGAGGGGATTGATGGTAATTTTAGTTTGCACACAATTGTAAAAATTTCTATTGATTTTCGTATCCTTAGTGAAAAATACACGAAATTTATTTGCAAATCAAGTGCGCATAGTTCGGCATTGCATCACCAATTTTATATATTGGCACGTATTTAAAAAAACGAAAAAGTTTTATTTCAGTACGAGCATTTGATTATTAATAATAATATTCCAATTATCATCCAATCAAATTAAATTATCAATATTGACCAACTGGCTTATAATAAAACCTTTTATTTATGCCTGGTGTATATAGCAAGCATGTTCTGCCCTAAACAATGGAAGCATGTTATGCCTTGGTTCTGTACAGAGAGCGTATAGCACGCTACGCTGTTATTGAACTGAGCGAAGAGTTTTCTAAATTTCCCGTTTAATTATTTTAAAGAAATGTCTAGTTTAAGTTAGTCAATTTGGTAAAGGCCTTTGTGAGTGAATGTATTTATAAGTGTTAATGTATAAGCTCTCCATAGGTATCACATACTAGGCCATCGCTGAGACAAGGGATTATGTGAGTTAACATACCCTATAATAAATAGTTATGTATAAATGTGTTTAATTAAGAATGAGAATGAATATAGGTTTAGCTTTGATGTTTAAGTAGTCTATTTAACGCAATAGATGACCATGTGATTATTAATTCCAGTAAAAAGAATTTTTTTTAAAGATTATTATAAATCCAGCCGTAAATACATACAAAAATCCTTGGATTTTTTATTTTTTTTAAATAAATACTATATTTTTAATGAAATTTTGATACTATTTGTAATGCTTTATCGGATAATATCAACTTATTGCAATATATTGAGATGTTTAGAGGTGTTTCGGCTTTTCACTATGTTTGGAAGTACATTTTTTATTGTACTCACTTTGTTAACCATAATCTTTTAAATAAATAATTATTTGAAAAAAGAAGGGTATTATGTATTTGTGAAACGTGCATTGAGCGGTGTCGCGAAGTGATTATGGGCCTATAGCTTGTAAACTTTGTCAGACTCATAAGTATGAGCTATCTCAAAAGACACGACTGACTATATAACACCGACCCCTGAAGATGTGGACCAATACGAAAGGCGATATCTGCGTGGATGTGCAGACCAGGATGATTGGTGATGATGATGCTACATTATGATCTAATTAGGAATTTCCATTTTAAATACCAGATAATAATAAATTATATGTAATATATAATTTATTTGTAGTTTGACCGTTTCCAATCATCAATGTTTTTTTAAGTCAGGCGCATTAAGTACTTTCGGCACCACCAGTGGGTTACACTGCTTTAGCAGAAGTCATCACGATATCTCACAACATATATTTAAAGAATAATGAATAAAACTTAATCAAAGAACAATAAAAACAACACCAACCCACCTCTATTGATGGCGAAACCTAAACGCGTCTGACAGACCAAAACGATAAGCAAGAGATAAGATCATCACACAGATCTCAAGAGAAAATGTCATATTATTTATTATAGGTGTTTTTTTATAATATGTAATTTTTTAAGACTAATTTGTCTTTTTTTAGATTTTTGGTTTTTATAAAAAAAAAATCCATGTGGTTTTTTAAATATAAAATCCTGTAATATTAAACATAATATATTATAAAACCTTGTGATAAAAGCTTATCGGCAAATGCAGAATGGTCATATATCTTTTAAAAGAAACTATATATAGTGAGAAATTTTTTTAAAGATACTGATGATGGGTGTAAATTCGCGAAAAGTAAGAATAAATGTTTAAATACGGTGAATTTACATTTGGAAAAGAACCACAAAGAATTCGTGTTTTAGCAAAACCACAAAAAATATTATTTATCATTTCCTATATAATTAGTTAGAAGACTTCAATTAAAAAAATAATGTTTGGTATTTAATGGCAGTTATTTAATGATTTTATTTAGAAATCGTGAGATGCGGTCTGGTGTAATGTAGATTTAGAAAAACCTTAACCCATTGACCTTTTTATCTCAACTAAAAACCTTAATTAATTGTAATATATTAATTGGTCAAGCAGACCACGAAATTAGTGAATTTAATGGTTTAGAAAATGTTTTTCTAAACCTACATCACACCAGACCGCATCTCACCATCTCTAAATAATTATTAAAAAATAATGCCAATTAGAAAGAAAATACTCCGTTTCTTGTCGAGATTTCGAGGAATATACCCCCTTAATTAAGACTGAAATTTTAATTAATAATTTAAAGATTCACAATTTTAAAGTATAATGGAATAAAAAATTGAATTTACAGAGAAGGGGATAAATTAACCGTCCATTCAATAATTGGCCCGATGAAGGGGATATATTCCTCGAAAATTCGTCGAAGAAACCAAGTGTTTTCTGCCTAATTGTGCTCATCTCTGATCCATTTAAATATAAAATCGTATCATTTATTGTTAATAAATTCGAATTTATGTACCTGGATGGAATGGACTCCGTTCCCGTTGTTCTGAAGTTTCCCAATGGAATTGCCATTGCCGGAAAAATCCGAGAAAATAGTGTCGTCAAACGGCGCACCTTCCATGTCTGTCGGCTCCAATTTGAACATATATGAAAGTAGACCGGTTAAAATTGAACTCGAGAAAAAAAAAGTTCGGGCCGCGAGGGAAAACAAAGTCCGGCGATCGGACAAAACCGGGCCTGGCGATTAATTAGAACAATAAAGGGCGACAACAAAACTCATTGATTGTTATTAATTTATAAATTGGTCTAATCAAATTCATACGAGCGCTAAGCAGGGACCGAGTTAAGACCAATTCAGCCAACTAGAGTCAATCGAGCTTATTTGTTACAATTGTGGTGGTGAGAGACGGAGGTCCGTGACAGTTGGCTGCAAGACACAAAACGGTCAAGAGCTTTCCTCCGGCGGGCCGGGTGGACGGGGGTTGCCGACTGGAGTCGTGAGGGGGTGGGTTTCTCGGCCGGCCAATCCGCGCCTACTCCGAATCCCGAGTCGGGCCAATCGGAAACGGGCTCCGCCTACGTTGCCCCCCACTCACCACTCTGATTCGCCGAACCGATCGTCCCACTCCCACACGTAAGTACCTTCCACAACACTTTCTCGCCCAAGGAAAAAATTGCCAATATCATCATGATCAATTATCATTCATATGCATTTTTTATATTAACTCTTCAAATTCTGCATAATTTGTAAATTATACACGTGTTGTAATTATTAAAACTTGCCTCAACCATTAAAAAGTATGTATATGCTGAGAAAAGCATCACTATACCAAACTATGTCTTAATTACATCGTATAGAAAATACAGCCATTTAAAAATCAGTGATTATTATACTCTGCAATAACCTTTGATTTGCAGAAGTGAGAGCTTATCAATCTTGAAAATAATAATGTAAGACAGGCAGTACATCGTTTTGCTTACATCATTAAAAAGAGTTATCCTCAAATAATGTGTTATATTTAGGGACCGATAATTAATGTAATAATTAGGGACCGATTATTTAGAGATCGTGAGATGCGGTCTGGTGTGATGTAGGTTTAGATAAACATTTTCTTTATCGTACCAACGTTTCGATCTTTATTGAGATCATCTTCAGGGCCTGGAATTTATAAACAAACTTTTAAATTATACAAATACATATAAGATATGATTATGAATTTATACAATAATGTTCACAATACAGAAATTTTAGGTTTAATCAAAGTTTGTGGGTAGATATGTCATTGTTGTGTGTCGTTGGCACGATAAAGAAAATGAAGAAATAATCTCGATATTATATTAATCAGCCTTCAGTATTATAATTTTGTACATTAAAAATCATGAATTAGGCCAACATAAAATAAAAATATTTAGTCCTTTCCTCAAGGTTTCGAGAAATATATCCCCTTCATCAGGAGTTTGAAACGTTGATTCATAATTCACAAAGTTAACAAAATATGAACATCTACTTAAACTTATGGTTTCAAACATAATGATGGCAGTGCGTACATATTGTCCATTCCCTATTGAAATTGTAACATCAATTTATGTATCTTATATCTCAGGGCTTTTATGGTCTTCATATACTTTGATTTTGTAGAAAGCTAAAGGCAGATCTCCCTAATGATATATATTCACTGATTCGTATAATTTGATTTTCAAATGGATGTATTCGGCCTACGATCGTGAAAAACGTAGAAAACCCGTCTGATTTAAAGTAATTTTCGCAGCACATATATATTATACATTTACCTATAATATACGCATTATGTAGGTTTTTAAAGAATAAATAAAAATAAACTATATGAGCAGTAATAAATCGTGATGATATTCTGCATTTAATAAAGTAATACTCAATAAACCGGGTGAGTTTAACTTCTGTTCCTCCCTATATTTTTATTGGAGTTTTTGGGAAAAATCCCGAGACCTAAACTTTTATTTTTGTCTTATGAAACAAAAAGTTTTGATCTAATTCTCCACGTTAACGGTGTATGAATAGGAACTTAACAATTTCAAATAGCAAGGTACTCATTAATGCACATTGTTCGAAAGGACTGTGTGGTGATTAGTGACCGTTAATCGATTTCTAAATAAATAAAGTTCGAAAGGACTTTTGACATTGAATTGACGAAAAACCTTTTCCGAACACGGTTTTTCGGATAAACGAAGTCTACTCCAACTTCTTCAACTAATCACCAATTTATTTATTTATAATTTTTATTGATAATAAAATACTTGCGCGTGGTGCAGAAAGCAACAAATTTTCAACAATTTCCTCAAATAACATCGATTTACAGGACGCTCTGGATGTGGTTTATTCCCATCAATTATTCTCTTTTCAAATCTAATGCATAGCAAACTATATTCTTTTACTATTTACTTTTTCCCCCAAAGCCCGCGTATCTATTCCAGCATGTAGAGGAAGGTTGCTCGATGTGTCGCACTTATTGAAGGGAGCTACTCATTCGCTTCACATAGAGAGAGTGTAGGAAAGCCACCCGATATGAGTATTGTGCTTGGGCACGGCAGTGGGTATCTGTGTACCCTATTCCGATTTTTAGAGGAAACGACTGTTTTACCGTCTTATGCTATATGTAGTCCTTTTATAGATATGTAGATATGTATCTAGTGTTTCTTAGTGTTTGTTGAGAATGAATGGAATTACTAGCTTAAATGTGTAGTGTGAGAGGGTATTCCACTAGTGTGTTCCGCGATGGCGAAATATTGAGAGCCTCATCGACCCTCAATTAGATTAATTATATACTATAATTGTGTAGAGGAGGAATATCATGTATTCAACTACCCTGAGTGAATGGTATGAATGTAAGGAAAGAATGTATTTAAGAGTGAGTGTGAACGGTATGGAGACTGGTTGTGTTGTGGGCTGAAATGACCTGTTGATAGTCCCTGGAGCCCATCATCGGTGGCTGGAATAATAAACCAAAGATTGACCCTGGACTGCCAACACACGAGGTGGGCGATTCTCGAGGCTCGCCGGTAATTGATTGTAAATTACCCAAAAGCTGGAATTGCCGGGGAGCTGCGAGATGTGATAGCTCAACTCCGCACACGTGTATGTATGCGGATTTCAGTTTATGTAAATCAATAACAAGAAATTCTTCTTCACTCCTTATACAACCCCGGTTGACGTAATTTCTATATAAGCTGAGCTGTTTGTTGTTTTTAGGCAATTAAGTTTTATTAGCCCAAGGTCGTGGGTTCGAATCCCGCCTGTGACACTAATTTTTCATTTCGAAAAATATTGTATATAATTAATTAAGTCAATGTTATTATTTAATAATACTTCCAAAACTCATATTACCAGTAAATGTAATATAAATGATATATAGAAATTTATGCTTTTTAAGGAATCTATTATTTAATAAGCAGTACAAATTTTAAATTTTGGCGTCTATGTAATTTTAACTCCAGTAGACTGTTCGTATCTATGTCATGTAATTAAAGAGAAAGCGTGCATTCTTTGACATGTTCCAAGCTTTTGACAAGGTCTCGCACCCGGGGTTTCTGTTCAAACTAAACCTGTTCTACCGACTCCTTTTTACCTAACGCTAAAATCCTATCTAACTGATCGCTGCTTCCAATGCGGCAAGAAGTTTTCGGATATCACACCTATCCAGGCCGGCGTCCTACAAGGGAGCATTTTTGGTCCCATTCTATGAACAGTTTATACTGTTGGCCTGCCGATACATCCCAATATCAACTTTATAACCCACGTGGACGATACTGCAATTTTATCTCCTAACCCCTACCTTGCACCTCCAATATCCAGGAACATCTTGAGCTCATTGAAGAATGGTGCAAAAGATGGAAAATGAAGCTGAACGAGAACAAATACATCCAAGTTATGCCGAAGGTAAAAAAACAGCCTTGCCACGTCTATACTTTCACAACAAAGAACTATCGACATCTACACAAGTAAAATACTTAGGGATATAAGTGGGCAGTAAACTGACGTGGAATTCTGACACAAGATTTAAGAGACAAGGACAAAATAGATGATTTCGACAACTACGAAGGACCGAAAGGAATAGGTCCGAAATCAGACATGACGGTAAACAACAAACTAACTCATTATAAAGCATTACTTCGACCTATTTGGACATTTACTTACTGGGATTTACTTTACTAATTTCTTTCGTTTGTAGTTAGATTTTTTTATTACGGTCAATTAAGTATTGAGTAGGCTAGGTGTTCAGCAGATTTAGACCATTTGTCAGCAAGATAAAGCCTTCTTGGATTACTTTGCAACACCAAGGTTTGTTTAAATTATCCTAAATTATCTTCTTGGGGATTAGGGATATATCGTATACATATCATTGCCATCTTATTTAGCATCTCAAACAACTATTAAATACAGGACTGATCCTACTCCTCTTCAGATGTACCTTTATCTCAGCTTTCATAATTATTAGCATCCTCCATCCAAATCATATAAATGTATATGAAATTATGTATGTTAATCCAGTGGGAATTGTTGTTTCAGCTCTTGTCTTGCTGTTATTTAAAAAAATCGAATTTAACCACACTTTAATAATAAATAAGATGAGCACTTGCTTTGGGCAAATCCAGCGCTTGTACAGAAAGGCCACAGTATGTCACACTTGGTCAAGGAATGGCAGGCCTTGGCCCCTTACAGGGAGCGGGTAAGTATGGCACCCGATATAAAGACAGTCCTTAGGAATGAGAGTGCGCTATTGAGTTCCATGTTCCGATTTTTAAAAGAATCGGGGGTTTTTCACTACTTTAGTACATCTATAGTGTACCTAATATATATGTACTGTACTGTATATAATATATGTATCTGTGTGAATGAGTACCAATTGTGGGCTAATATAACTCCATCATCGGTAGCCCGAAAGGTTCCCATAGAAATAAAAATAAGGGCCAACTTATTTCATGTCGATTCTAGCTATCAAGCTCAGCAGAAACGTACTATGTACAGCCAAATAAAAACATTAAAAAATAATTGGCAATAACATATCTGATACAGTTAAAAAAAACTTTTAATTTAAAATTTGATCATTCATTTATTCTTCTCGTCCATCACCAACTTGGCCTATAAAGGAAGTATTTAGTATTTAGGGTTTGTCTTTTATCTGTCCGATGTAAGGCTTAAACATCTTGATCATACACATCAGTGTTCTGAAGTGTGGATCCGTTAATCATGAATAAAGTAACTTGAGGAAGAGGTATGAACGTGGGGCGAGCGCGCGACGAAGCGTGTAATGTATTAAAAGGGCCTCAAGTGGTTCCTGATAGCATCATACGCACCCCTGATGTACCCGTATGGATACCTCCTGCCAACACGTCAGTGACCGATCCTCGATTATCTTTCCGTGCTCTTCATTCATGCCGATGCCGTTATTATCCAGCTAGTCAACGTGAAAGACCCCCGAGGAGGCACAACACCCTTATACGAGCGTTAATCTCACAACGTTTAACTTTTTTTCAAAGCCCGCTGATATAGATCTTTGTGCTATAGTGGTTATTCTGAATCAGTGGATTTTTGCCGAAAAAACATCTGCCAAGAAATAACTCGAGAATCTCAACGTCTATGGAACAATGCACGATTTA